GCTGGAGAAGGAATGTGGTGTTTTGGAGCCATGAACAGCATTGGTTGTATTAAAGCTGTTAGTTGTCTGAGAAATTGTGACAGTTGAAGAAAAAGCTGCCTTACTCAGGCCATTTATTGCATGCTAGAATAGGATGCAGAGACCGGTCTTAAAATTGAGTCCTGCTCCAGGGCAAAAGGAAGCATAGTTACTCTAAGGTGGAGTGTTATGTGGGTGAACTTTTGCTGTGGCTTCCTTTTGCCTGGTTTCCGACAGAGCTATGGTCATGGATATTCTTATGTGGTCTACTCACAGAGTAGGGTGCTGAATTTAGGGTAGGAGTGTCCAAGAAAAATGCAGCAACCCAGTGCAGACTGTCCTGTTGCATTGCCCCTCTAGCAAAAGAGCAGGAGGAAGCACCTTATAAGAGCTCTAGGCACAAGTAATGGTAGAGTGCAACCTTCGGTGTGCTGTAACACCTAGTTTCCACTTGAGACTAAGCTCTGAGTAATGTCAGCATATTTTGAAAAGTTTATACTGGAAAAGTGAAGACATTTCAAACTCACTTTTTGTTTTTTACAGAAACTGTCAGAGATAACAGAATAGCCCTGTCTAAATGGCAAACCGTGAACGGCCCCAGCAGTGCTGCCGCCCGGACCAACAGCCCACAATGCCAGATCCACCGCGGAGCAGGGCAGTCGTCACAGCAACATGACATGTATTTGCCCTGCCCCTTTCAGCTCACGGTCTCTCAGTGTCCCGCTCCCTGCCTGTACACAAGCATTCAGCAAGGATCTCGGCACATCTCCTTTCTGCCCTCAAGGTAGGGTGTAGTCTTACAGGGGCAGTCTGATGGACACACTGAATATTAAGGTGCACTCTGATGGGCACAACATAGAATGTGCCCATCAGCATGCCCCTTATTTTATGTTAAGGGCACTCTGACGGGCCTATTTTATGTTAAGGGGGCACAAATAGACACATACTGTGGAAAGCGGCACTCTGATGGGGAATATGATGTAAGGGGGCACTATGACGGGAATACCTTATGTAAGGTGTCAATGTGATGGGGATACCGGATGTAAAGGGGCACTTTGATGGGGAGAACTGATGTAAAGGAGCACCTGATGTGATGGGAATACATGATGTACTGTTGCACTGATGGCGACACCTAAAGTAAGGGCACACCCTATTCGAACCTTGGCCAGAAGAAAATTTTAATGACCAGACCTCCTTGAATTTTAATTCAATACCCCTGCTCTAAAGGGTTTAGGCTACAGTGAGTGAGGGAGGAGAAAGAAGACTAGAGTTAATACTAGTAACAGACTAAATCATATGTCATTTTGGATTTTGCCTTTAGCACCACTCTAGGATATTTACTAGATTAAAAATATCGATAAAACCTAAGAAGATGCTTTTTGTTTTCTCTCAGGAGACAAGTCCATTCTCTTAGAACAGTAATAAAAAAAATTGAGGAGTGTTAGAGTGGGTGGGGTTATACTGGGCTATCCATACAGCTTTGTTGCCAGTATGCCATCTCTTAAGGCAGCATCATCATAACCCAATGTACCTGAATAATCTTCCTGTGTCCTGCAATGTACGACTAAGAAAAAAAAAAAAGTCTATTTTTAAAGTGAAACCTCAGTCTGTCTATCTTTTTCTTACATAATGATGTTTTTTAAAACAAGAGTGTGAGGTGTGTTTGAGCAATATATATTTTTAATGGTTATTATATAATCAATGTTAATCATTTTAAATTATTTACCATGTCTCTAACAGCCCACTTCCCTTTTCTGCCATTGGTTGGAAATCCCAATTCTCTCCAAGATTACACTATCTCAGAGGTTCATGTAGTTTCTACAGTGGCTGATCTCAAAATAAAAAAAAATTAGGCAGGGAGCAAAGGACATCTCCCTGCCATCTGATATTTACTCATTATTGACTTACCAAGGTCTTGTTCCACACTATCGGTGTGGAAATGGTCATCTTTGTAAGGAAGGGAGGGTTTTACTTCTTCCATGTCAGAGCCTCCATACAAATTTTTCCATACTCCATTTTCATCCCAAATCTGAGACAAGCAAGCAGAGACAGCAGATCTCACTTTGCAGGCACAGGAGAGCCTGGGTGCACTTACATAGCAGAAAGTACATTGTTTTTTTCAGAAGGAATTCCAGGCAAAAAAAGTACAGTTCTCATGGTGCTACTTATTGCACTATTTGATGCTAATGTATCTTTCTATTACTAGGAAAACCCAGAGTGTACATCGGGCATCATTAAGGGTGTTTGCACATGGTATTGATGCTTGAGCATCAGTATTTCTGGCCACATTTCAGGTGTTTAATTTGCATGTACATGCATACATGAGGAAAATAAAATTCTAACCTTTTCAAAGTAATTTACAAGTGTAAAATACTGACAACTCAAATTCCTGATTTTTTTTTTGTTAACTCATCTATACGCAGTACCTTTACGCATCTGTGTGTACAAGAACTTTAAAAACAATAGGCTGCATTTAGAACCGTAAAAAAAAAAACCAAAAAAAAACCCCAAAAAAACCCCCCCAAAAAAACCAAAAAAAACCCAAAAAAAAAAAAAAAAAAAAAAAAAAAAACAAAAAAAACAGCTGTATGCCTGAAAAAGCACAGAATTTTGGCAGCAGTATTCAAGAGACCTTAATGAGCTCCGGGCACCATATTCCCCGTGCATGTGACAGTTATACTAAGGCTGCTTTACTAAAGGAATTGAGAATCTTCACTCAAATTAAACATCAGTGGAAAGTATGAATATTTGGAAAGAGTGCATGGCACAGAGGTGGATACAAACAAAAAAAAATTAATTAAATCAGCCATGAGCAAAAGGTGAAACGCAGAAGGAAAGAATTGCACAAAATAAAGCCGTAATTAAAACTCAACCAAACAAGAGATAAATGAGTAGCCAGATTCAAAACCAAAGTTGCCCATTTCCAAAGTAGGCAATTTGATTCAATTGTACGTTAAGTTTGTTACCTTAAAAAATTATCCCATATTTGACAAAAGTGACCCACTGTAGCACTGACTAAATGTTAACACCTTTTCCAAAAAACTAGTACATGCAGTAGTACTGATCTTATGATAAATATGCCTCTACAATTTTTTTTTGTATTGAAGCCTCCACAGCATTGCACCTGCAATAAGTACATCATGAGTGCAATGCACATTCTTCAATTTCTTCCCCCAGCCCCAGAGCTGTATGGAGGTACAGACTTGCTGCTTTGCGGCTGAAGAAAGTGCAGCTGGACTGGAGGAGAAAGGGAGGATAGATCGCCACCATGCTGAACAGTCCTTCTATTGTGGTGGCAGATGAGACAAGTAGTAATTCAATGTACAAATTCCAGACCTGAATGACACAGCTCTGTGCACAAAATTACTGCAATGTTCTGATAGAAGAAGCATCCCATGATTCAGGTAAGTGGTGTAGTTGGGGTGGGCAGATTGAGGGTTGGGGAATGCAACCATGCTTCAGATTACATCCTAAATATGGGTGTTATATGAAGCATAGGTTTAAAATATGGACTTACCCTTTCTCTGTGGACCATAGAACTATTAGAACCATTTTGTAAGGTGTACAGCCCAAACTTTTTTCTTTGCTTTAGAGTAGAAGGGTTAGACTTATTTGTGTCCCTGCTGGAAAGATTCATTATATTCAAATATGTCCTAGTGACCATTTTTACTTGAACTGAAAGTGAGTGAAAATCTAAAATCAAGTAATTGGAAAAAGAACAGAAGGAAAGTGCTCCAAAGACAACAGAGAATAATTTTCCCTCAGTTTAGAAAGATTTTTCTCATTTCCTGCCATGTCTATGAACAGTAAGTGAAAGGAGATCACCTCAATGGCAAGAACAAACACACCAGCATGGCTTTTCAACCCTTCTTTACGCTATCCAGAAAGATAGAAAATGTTTTGGCTTTAGATATATATTAAGTAGCAAGTCAAGCCAAAATATCATTTTTGACAAAGTTCTCACCATATACATCACCTACTATAAATTTATAATCCGTACAGTGTTGCCAAAAGAAAACAGGTATTCAACCACCCATCTTCCATGGCATTCAGTTCATTTATTATGGAAAATAGATAAAACAGTTACTGGATGAGAAGTCCTAGGACATCATAAAAAAAATACAATTTATTAAAATTATGCATAGCAAACAATTATGGGACGCAGTATCAAATTTGTTGCTTTTTGTTTAAAAACCTTTGAAAAAAAAATTCTCCATTACAACCTTTGCACTAGAATTTCCAACCCATAATGGTTGTACTGTATCATTTCTTAAATAATCTTCAAGAGAGCCGAAGATTATTAAATACTGTGCTGCATCCTAGGCAAAAATAAAAATTAAAAAAAAGAAGCATGGCTGATGAAAAGCAGCTTCATACCAAACACCGGAAGACTGAATGGTAAGGCTCATACTGATATTTATTCTTATACTGTGGGAAGAGATACCTTAATTACATAGACTAAGTTATCTATACTGATAAAAGCCAAATTTACATTATCCCATTGTGTTCCCTCCCTCTGCAGAAATGGCCTATGGGAGCCAAAGCAAATGCACATTAATCCATCAATGCTTGATCTTTGCTGTAGATAAGAGGCTTAAGTCCAGACTCTTAACACCCACTAGAGTGTTAGGCTCCATGCACACTGAGCGTTTTAATAGCGCTGGTAGCATTAGCTGTGTAAAGTCACGTTAAATACGTTTTTCCATCGGTTTTCAGCGTTTTTGCATTATCGTTTAGCCGTGTTTTTAACGTGTTTGTGGTTTTAGCGCTGCAGATGCAGGTGGACATTTCTAAACGTTCCCCCGCATCAAATGCCTGTGCGCTCTCCCTGGGAGCACGCGGCACCGTGATCGGAACACAGATCGCTGTACGGGACCTCTGTGTGAGGTCCCGATTCATGCGATCACTGATTCTCTAATCAGTGATCACATGAATAGTAAACAAAATGTCACTTTCTGACATCATTGCTTACTACTTGTGAAATCTGTGAATGATCACAGAGGTCACATGGTACAAGGCTATTCACAACAGCCTTGTACCATGTGACAAGCTGTGACCAATCACAGCTCGCACAGTATTTCTCAATGGCTAAAGGAATGCAGCCAGAGAGAAAGAGAAATGATTGCCTTTACAGCCTTTATGGGTGTAAAAGCAATCACTGTAAAAAAAGAAAAAAAAATCTTCATCACCCCCAACAAGTAGTACAGTGTCACCATAGGGTGACAGGTATGTAAAAAAATAACATAAAAAAAAATAATAAATGTAAAAATCATTTTTGGTTATAAACTAATTTGGGTTTGTTTTTTGTTTACTAAAAAGATAAATGAATACATTTTGGCCAAGATTTATGAAAAAAGATTTGCAAACTTTTATAAAACATTTTTCAAAATTTTGGTACTTTATTTTTATATAGAATAAAAAATTAAAATCCCAGTGGTGAATAAATACCACCAAAATAAAGTTTTATCGGTCTCAAAAAAAATGCTAAACAATTCATATAGATACAGTGTTGCATGAATTGTCAAAGTGTGATAGCACCGAAACCTGAAAATTGGCCTGGACCGAAATGGGGTGAAAAAGTGTCCAGACTTGAAGTGATTAATTAAAAAAAATATTTTTTTTTTTTGCTCAAAAGAAGTCCAAAAATGCCGGTTTGCTGCATTTTATCGAGATTTTCCGCGTTAGAGCATTTTTACAGCCAAATAACTCCTCTAGAAACCCCCTAGTTCTGGGGGGTTTTTCCAGCCAAGAACCGCTGTTTACAGCCTACGTGTGCATGGACATATAGGATAACATGCCGGGGAGTTTACTGGCTGTAGAAAAAAAATGCCAAAAGCCACAAACAGCTGCTGTAAAAACGTCCAGTGTGCATGAGGACTTTTAGATGTTATTGACTAAAGCTGAACTACGTACCTCAATTAATATTCACATTTGAACAGCCCCAAATAGAATGTTCAAGTTAATGGAACCTCACCTGTATGCCCCAAGCTACAGTAGATACTCGGGCTACTTTACGTTCATTAAGCACATTAAATCTTACCAATGCAGTGAATTCTTGTGCTCACTGCGAGTTCTACAAATATGTCCATTCAAGTGAAGCAGAGGTCTGCAACTATGGCCCAGTCTTGTACAGAACACAGATGTGAAGGGATAGGAACAATAAAAAGTAGGTTGGCACCATTTGTGGTGCCTTTTGCTCTGCAGAGCTAGGGATTATCTTAAAATTGGTTAGTGATATTGTATAAACATCTCTATGGCTTGTTTCCTACAGCTCATATATATGGATTGAAAACACTTTTAAAAACAATTAAATGCTGCCTTGACCAATGCTACCATATTCCAGTCTATAAACTCTACATACAATGCATTACATATGTCAAAGACAGTTGACATGTGAATAGGACAATTTTCAAAATGTACACCATGATAAAATGATCACTATTAATACTCTTAGTGATGATTTATGAAATTGCTTTGTTAAGGCAGTTAAGGTAAAGTTACCTTTATTTCTTTCTTTGTACCTATAAGCCATTCATACAGGATCAAAAACAAGACCAGCATTGTGATAACATTCCCTAGGTCCAGGGACATTATTCCCTCAACATGGAAGACATGAGTAGAAAGGCCATTTAATACTTTTACAATCTTTAAGCCCCAGCATTTGACTTTCTAACAGGAAGGACTGCCAGACCAAAGACTGTGGGAGCAATAAACAGGAAACAGCAGAGAACGGCTATGAAATACATGACATGATTGTAACACTCAAGTGTCAAGGTACACATGTGCCTTGCGTTCACTTTAAATACATTGTCGGCCTTCAAAACTCATTTCTTTTTTGCTGGCATAATGAACAGCAAAATAGCACATTATATTTTCAAGACTGCAAATCAACCAAACTGACGAAGGAGACATCCATTGCATTAATGTCCCCCATAACATAATGGAAGACTGCCATTTGGGTTTATGGGTAAAAAACTAACACACAGGAAGTTAGTCACGTATACTTGTCAACTGATTTCTGGATCAAGAAAATCATATTACACTTTTAACCACTATGCACAATCAAACCTTTGCTATTAAGACAATTTGGTATTTTTGATTTTCATTAAAAAAAATTTTTAGACCCAGTACTCGTCTCTGAAGCTTGACTTCCTATACTCCAACCACTGTTTTATGGAGATTTAGAAAAAATGTAAACTTCTGAAATAAAATTAAATCCATGAACACAATATGGTTTATGTTCCTTCTATGACATTGAAAGAATATGTTGGGAAACTTATTAATACATTTCTTCCATGTCTAGAATGCAGTCTCAATCTGCTTTTTTTGCACCACTGATTGATATATATATATATTTGCGTATATATATATATAGATATATGTATATATTAGTTGTATCTTTTTTAAAAAAATGTATGTTTGTTCATCAGTTTGTCCAGTCTGCTTTATGCAGTGACAGAGACCACAAATTTATGTCCCTCTCTTGGGGATTTGAAGCCAAAATCTATGTACTTGGTTTTTTGTAAGCTAGATTTTATATTCCTTGGGATAATCACCAGTATTAGTCTGAATGCATCAAGAAATATGCACGGTCATAGATTCATGCGTAGATGTTCTGGTCGCTTAGGGATCAAGGGATAGGCTTGTTTTTTGTATGGCGCAGCATTGGATTGTCTTATTGGTAGTGGGGCAGAAGCCTCTCCGCTTACAGTCACATCCATTTGTTCTACGCCACTTGTTTCCATTCGGAAATCAGCTGGTGGTTGTGTATTTGTTGCTCCAGCAGCTGTTCCTCTTCCCCAGAAGTCACCAGGACAGAATTTCACAGGGCTTGAAGAAAAAAAAAAAAAAAAAAAGTGGTCTAAAATGAAATTAGTTTATATACATTCAAATAGCATGCTTAAAGCATGTGTGTGCGCAAACAAAAAAGTTCAGCAGTACATTCACATTTCTGTTTTGTCTCATACATGTACATAAAGCAAAATGCCTGTTGATTATGAAAGAAAACAAGTGAGCAGTTAAAGTGGTTCTTAACCAAGTGCTTTTTACCTTAATGCATTCACTGCATTAATCCATTACACACCTCTAACCCCCTAGGGAAGAAAACTTTGGGGTTGATTTACTAAAAAGATTGTGCAGCTTGCATGGAAACCAATTGGCTTCCAGGGTTTTTTGTCAAAGCCTAATTGAACAAGCTAAAGCTAGAAGCGGATTGGCTACCATGCACCACTTCACCAGATTTAGTAAATCACCCCCTTTAGGTTAATAGAGATTCTCAGGCTAAACAACTAAATTTGCTAAGCGAGACAAAGGCTGGCCATACATTATACAATTTTACTTTAGATTTATCAAAAACCATATAATTGTAGGTTAAACCTAAAGAACACTTTCAATTGTATCCAGTTAGGCGGGTCCTTGCGCTACATAGTTGAAGGTAAATCTAAAGGAAATTGGGCAGAAATGGAACAGAAAATTGTATAATGTATGGCCAGCCTTATGAAAGAAAACCCTGAATTAAGCTAGAACGCTACAGGCTACAAAGGTTGTTCATCTGCCAGAGAACCCAGGATTCAATCGCACAAAGTAATACATAGCTTTCCTAGCGCACGGGTGGAAAAACCCTATCTCTATGCCAGGTCAGTGTGCTAGCACTCTATGCCGTGGACATTCCCATCCTGTGTGCTCTGTGGGGTTCTCCGGTGGGTGAATTGATAAGAGGAGTCAATGCACAAAAACCATGTTGGTAGTTCAATTGGAAGAGGCGTCCGAAGTGGTTATCTAAAAGATAGGCGCGAGTGGTCTGCTTTATTTAAAACATCCAATTACTTTATTTCACCGAATAAAATGTGCTCTGTGGCTTTAAAAATTGCCACTTCCTCAGTTCAAGGTTCACTGGAAAGTTTTAGAATTCTTAAATTCATGTGTCCCTCGGTGGATGATAGAAAAAATTATATTTTTGTTTTAAGGTTTAGATACACTAAGCCTGACTGAAATAGAACTTACTCCATAAGGAAGAAATGCCAAGAACAATCTACAAAGTAAAGAGATTTAATACATACCAATATTTAAAAACGACCTTACAAATAAAAAATAACCCAAATGATCGCAAATATTTCAGCAAGTATGTAGGATTACCTGACAGGTGTTCGAGGACTTCCAATAAATCTACGAGGAGACCGAATTTTTGGTTCAAAGGAAAACTTCTCTTTCACACTTTCCAGCACAGAGGGAGCCACATAAGTAAAACCCTAGAGAAAAGCATCCAAATGCAATAAAGATTACAGCTGCAACCAATATTATAACCATATTAGTGTAAAGCTATCACTAATGGCGGCTTCACACTGCCCTGATGCAGTCCCTATGTGCTTCGGGCAAAACACAGCAAACCCAGATTTTGAGTGGGTTAGCTGTGATTTCCCATAGATTTTTATGTTCCGTGGTTTTGGTGCAGTTTCAGCAAGTGCACCAAAGAAGCAGCATGCAGGAGTCTTGGTGTGTTTTCTGATACTGCACAAGAACTACAGTACTTCATACAAGTCTATGGGAAATCGCAGGTAACCCATTCAAAAACTGCAGTTTGGACAGACTGTACTACAAAATGTAGCCTACTGATAACAAATCACAGATTGAAATAATGATACTCTTAGGATGATTCCTGGACATCTTTGGTGCCGATAAAATACTCTGTTAATTGTTCCAGCATTTAAGTACAAGTGGATACTTTGTTCGTTACACCAATGCGTTTCACGGGACAAAGCCCGCTTCTTCAGGGAGAAGAAGTATACATTTCTAAAACAGAGCAAAAATAGACCCAAAACACATTATGGATATATGACCATTATAGTACATAGAATTAAAAAACAAAACAATGAAATAGAAGGCTGACAGCATTTACCGGTTGGTGATATTGATGACCTCCCAAAAAGACCAGTGCATAACATATAGGGCATTTGAGTCACACCTGGATGGACAGAGGCCCTCATCTAAAGCTATCAGTGACTGCCAGTCACGTGGAGCCGTACATCCACCATGAAAAGAAAAAACTGAGATAACCCACAGGTGGTACTTATCTTGTACCTATTGCATTATATGAAGTTTATTGTTTGGGCAAATGTAGCCCCTAATTATATTTTATTTGCATGTTGTGTTAATCACACTTAATTAGGGGCAGCTTCACTTAGAATAGAATAACACTGAGGCAAGATTTGTCTAGGGTCACTACAGTTGTCCCAAGTTTTGGGGGCCTTACACTATATAGAGTGATTAGTTATACTTAAATGATTTATTGCTCACACATTCCATGGGTATATGTGGAATTACTCCCCAAAATACAGTCTGCATCTTCTGCCGAGTATAGGGGTACCACACACGAGAGGACTTTTTGGCAGTCTAGCCAAGTACAGGATCCCAAAATCCACTAAGCACCTTCAGGCTTTTAAAAGGGCTTTATTTCCTCATTACACTTCCTGACTACCTATCACACTTTCAGAGGCCCTGAAATGCCAGGATAGCACCAAATCCCCCAAATGACCCTCTTTTGGAAAGTAGACACCCCAAGGAATTAGATAAGTATGGTGAGTAATTTGCAGATCTTGTTTGTTGCCACAGGTTTTAGGAACATTTTTTATTTTCTTTCTTTATATTTCAAAACCTTGTGAGAAAAAAGGGGTCATTTGGGGGGTTTAGTGCTATCCTGGCATTTCAGGGCCTTTGAAACTGTGATAGGTAGTGAGGAAGTGAAATGAGTAAGTTACGCACCTTCAGGATTTCAAAGTGGTCATTGGATTTCAGGCTACTGTATGTGGCTAGGCTCCCAAAAAGTCTCACACATGTGGTATCCCCATACTCGGTAAAAGTAGCAGAATGTATTTTGGGGTGTGCTTCCACATATACCCATGGCTTGTGTGAGCAATATATTATTTAAATTACAACTTTGTGTAAAAAAAAAAAAAAAAAAAAAAATTTGTCATTTTTTAAAACTTGTGGAAAAAAGAAATCTTCCATGGACACAATATGCCTCAACAGATAGCTTAGGGTGTCGACTTTCCGAAAAGGGGTCATTTGGAGCGGTTTGTACTGTCCTGGTATTTTAGCACCTCAAGAAATGTGGTCCATCACAAAATAAAAGCTGTGTAAATTCCATTATCTATACCATAGTTTGTAGACACTATAACTTTCACACAAAGCAATCAATATACACTTATTGGGATTTTTTTTAACCAAACACATGTAGCAGAATACATTTTGGCCTAAATTTATGACGAAATTTTAGTTTTTTGGTTATTTTTTTATGACCAAAATGAGAAAATATAGTTTTTTTTTAAATTTTGGTCTTTTTTTGTTTATAGCTCTAAAAATAAAAAAGCGCACAGGTGATCAAATACCACCAAAAGAAAGCTTTATTTGTGTGGAAAAAAGAATGTAAATTTCATTTATGTACCGTATTGCATGACCGCGCAATTGTCAGTTAAACTAGTGCAGCGCTGTATAGCAAAAAATGGCGTAAATTGCAGTATCTATACCATAGTTTGCAGACGTTATAACTTTCACACAAAGCAATCAATATACACTCCTTGGGGTTTTTTTTTTTGTTTTTTTTTTACCAAAAACATGTAGCAAAATACATTTTGGCCTAAATTTATGACTGAGTTTACTATATATTTTTTATAGCCAAAAGTAACAAATATCGTTTTTCTTCAAAATTGTCTTTTTTTGTTTATAGCGCGAAAAATAAAATGCGCACAGGTGATCAAATACCGAACGAAAGCTTTATTTGTGTGAAAAAAGGATGTAAATTTTGCTTGGGTACAGCATTGCATGACCGCACAATTAGCAGTTGAAATAGTGTAGCGCTGAATAGCAAAAAGAGGCCTGGTCATTAAGGGGGTAAATCCTCTGGATGGCAAGTTGTTAATTCTATATACTATAATGGTCATGTATCCATAATGTGTTCTGGGCCTATTTTTGCTCTATTGTAGAAATTTATACTTTGTCTCCCTGAAGAAGTGGGCTTTGTCCCGTGAAACGCATTGGTGTAATGAACAAAGTATCCACTTGTACTTAAATGCTGGATCAATTAACAGAGTATTTTATCGGCACCAAAGATGTCCAGGAATCGTCCTAAGAGTATCATTATTTCAATCTGTGATTTATTATCAGTAGGCTACATTTTGTAGTACAGTCTGTCCAACACATTTGGGCCTATTACGATCTATATGTCCTATTGTCATGCCCCACCAATATGTTGGTTTTTTAACTAATAAAACGTGGTAAACTTTGCTTCAACTCTTTTTTCTTATTTTTGTATTCTTTTCGTTGGTTAGGTACCTTAACCTGTTCATGCCAGCCGAACGCAAATGTGTGGCCTCCCGGCGTCTGGGCCTAGCAGCCGAGCGGCCGCACATTTGCGGTCTATAAAAAAGGAAATATGTGCTGAGAGAGCGCGCCCTGCTCCCAAATCACAAAACTGTTTTACTTGAAGTTCCCATGCAATATGGCTTTGGCAATTAACCACATGCCCTCCAGAGGATTTACCCCCCTTCCTGAATAGGCAAATTTTTTTTTTACGATATGGTGCTGCGTTACTTTAACTGACAACTGCGCGGTCATGCAACACTGTATATGAATTAAATTTATGCCATTTTTTCCCCATAAGTTTCTTTCAGTGGTATTTGATCACCTCTGTGGTTTTTATTGTTTGCATGATAAACAATATTTTTGACTTTTTGCTATTAAGCATGTCCAATAATTTTTTTTTTTTTAATCAAATTTCATCAAATTTAAGCCAAAATATATTCTGCTACGTCTTTGCTAAACAAAATTCCCAATACGTGTAAATTAATTGGTTTACGTGACAGTTATAGTGTTTACAATTGGCGGTATATGTACACTGTAATTTTTTTTATTTATATATACTAGTAATGGCAGTGATCTGCAACTTATAGCGGGACTGCAGCAGGCATTGTGACACTGGGGGAACTGACTGCCACTAACATCCCCAGTGACACTAATACAGTGACCAGTGCTAATAAAAAGCACTGCCACTGTACTAATGACACTGGGCAGGAAGGGGTTAACTTTTGGGCGATTAAAGGGTTAACTGTGTGCTGTGCGTGTTTTACTGTGTGCAGTTTTACCTTGGAGACATGCTGTTTTGTATTTCTCTTTTGTGCAGAGAAATACAAAACAGCATGTCCTCACTGGCAAGAGAGAGAGCTGTGTTTACACACAGGTCTCTCCCCTGTCAGCTTTGCACAGCGATCGCCAGGTGACGGCGGGAATCTTGGGCCGGGACCCGATGATTGACATGCCTACCCACTAACGGTGGCGTGGGTAGGGTGGTGTGCACGTGCACTCCCTACCCGCAAATCATGTACATATAAACATGATTTTGCACAGCCCTTTCGCCCTGTAGCAGTAGTTCTACTACAGGGCGGCAGGCAAGCGGTTATGAGAGCCTTCATTTGTTTACTAACACATCTAAACAGTTTATGCCTAGTAAAGCATTCGGGATTACAACACAAATATCTAAAACATAAGTATAGATGCCTCCAGCTACTTAAGATTTAACCAAGTACTCTTCAAACCTGTTGCCTTACCACAAATACTTGATTGGCACTTTCACTGAGAGTGGCATCATCTGGACTGTCTACAGGAGTCTGACGTGTAAACTTTGAATCAAACTGGCTTACATCTTCTTCAGATTGCTTTAGAAAAACAAATTAAGTAACTTTTAATATGAAAGAAAGCCTAAAATGAGCCACAGAATTTTTACCCGTGTCCACATGACCACCCTTTAAAGCTGAAAGTGGTCATTCTCTTATTTACTCCTTTTTGGTCTCTAAAAAAGGGTTAACTTTAGAGCTGCCTATTCTCTCTGTCTGTATTACCGCATATAGTCTGTTTAGGCTCTATGGTCATATCACGGTACTACAAGTCAATTAGCACCTATGGTTTAGAGAAGAAGAAAGCAGGAGTGGTTGAGCAGTTCAGCTTTATAAACTGGGTAGGGCTGACACCACTCATTTCACAAAAATGCTATGTGTTACCAGGCCAAGATAAAAAAAAGCATGTATTTTTGGCAGATTGACGATTATTTTTCAATACTTGCAAGGTGTTTAAAACACATGCTTGAACTCCAGGCAAATATGAGACAAATGAATGCAGCTCTCTAGATTCATTAATACATTTTAAAGATATATATATATATATATAAAACTTAACTGCAACTAATGTAGAAACTGGAGTTTGACTTGATAATCAGAAATTTACTTTCACACCAAGAAGAGGTAGGGGCAGCACTGGGACCCAACAAGATATGCTGCATTCAAATGTGCTGACAAGGGTATAACTAGGAGGGGAAAGCAGAAGTAGCTCCTAATCATAAACCTGCTGCTGCTCTTTCACTGTCCAATCAGCAGGCTGGGTTGGGACAGTAAAATTACACCTCTACATTCCTAACTGCAACACAGAAAGGGGTGTCATTCACCTAGCTGTGCTACTGAGCGTTAATCTGAGGACTATGATAAACAAAAATTTCAGAAATACTCTGGAAGATGCCACAACTCCTCTCATATGTATGTGTGTATAGGTTTGCCTGACGTTTAGAGGTAAATATAATATAAAAATAGTATACATATTAGGTGCAATTTGTATCTAAATGGTTCAACTGTAATTACAAATTTACTGAACAAAATGTGCATATAAATACATATAAACGCTAACACCACCATAGTGATTTTAGAAAAACACAGTAAAATGGGATTTTACTTGCTGTAAAATCATTTTCCTTGACTACATTACTGGTAACAGAGATGAAAGACTGGCAAACCAGAACTGTAAGGACAGACTAATATAATCCCTCCCACTACAAGGATGACTAGTTTTGTACCAAGTAAAAGTAACGGTGTCCCATAACATACTCCAAGAAAAGGATTTTTACAGCAAGTCAAAATCCTATTTTCTTGATTATACATTACAGAACACAGCATCAGTATTCAGGTACATAATCCCAAAAGCAATGAGATATGGGTAACACAGCAAAGGCTAAACAGTCCACAAAAACCAACAGGGCTTAACAGCCAAGTTGCCTGAAAGACTTTACGACCCCAGCAGGCATCAACCGAGGCCCAAGCATCCACCTGGTAACACTTAACAGAAGACCAGATGGAAACCTTGCAGATACAAGAAATAAAAGCTTGATGCTGAAAATCCCCAAAAGTACTAAGTTATCTAGTGGAGTGCACTTTGACAGGGGAAACTTCCTGAGGTCATAAGCTTCAATGATGAGCCGTCAAATAAATTTGGTGATAGTGGAATGAAAAGCAGACCTTCAGGGAGCTGTAGCTTAGAGATAGACTCAAACAGAACGAAACACAGCCAGACAATTGGAAGCAAATTTCCTTAGCATGCCTTGGAACAGGACAGAGATGGTAGAATGTCCTGGTAAAGGAAGAAAAAAGCATCCTGGGAAGAAAAGAAACCTTGGGCCTCAAAACAATCTTGTCTGTGTGAAGTACAATAAGGGGCATGTTACAAGTTAAGTCTGTCAACTCACAGACTCACCTTGCAGAAGTGAAGGCCAAGAGGTGACTGACCCTTGAGGGTGCTTAAGGTCAAAATATCAATCTAGACCAGCAACTGTAGAAACCTACTGGTAGAAATAAAAGTAAACAAAAGGTTTTCTCTCTTAGTGGGGAGAAGGTGTCTGCTCTCATAGGACACATAAAAACTGAAGAGTCTTACTGTGCTGTCCTTATCGCTATTGTTTACCTGTGTAATATCCTGAAGGCAACAACAAAACCATATGTAACTGAATACTTCTCCTGTGTTCCTTAATTAATGATTAAGAAATGCAAAACCCTAACAATTTATATGGTTCTTGTGCTTCTACCAGTCAGGAGCCCAAAGCTGCACTTAAATACAAGTCACTCCTGTACTACGTATACAAGAGACAATAGTTTAAAAGGACAACTTCACTTTTAAAACAGCAGACGCCTCCTCTGATGTTTACATCCTTTACCCAAAACTTGTCTGGCGCTGTGTGCACCTATGCAGTAAGTCCACATAGACTTTAATGTTTGTATACACCTAGCTTCTCAAATGCAGGAGTATGGCCTCAGCTTTGTGGTCAGTAAAAGGTTTAAGTTAAAAGGACTAGAACCAGGTATTTTTTAGTTGTACTGCTGATAACAGTAAGAAGGCAGATTTGTAATATGGCTTGTGGTCCCTGCATAAGTTAACTAGAATTAGAAGACTGGAAAGATTTATGAGGCTGCCAGATAACTCTCCTTATATTTGCATTATCCTTTCATATTCTTTTGGTCTAAGAAACAGACAATTTTAATAACTGCAATATCAAGCTGGACAGTAGGATTTTTCTTTCCTGACAGAATTCTTAACTTTTTATAAGACAAATATTTATACACACCAAAAGCGGTTTAAAGGGAGGCTCCACTTTACGGGCTAAAAGATCTTCCCAGCTGATGTGCCTAAAAAATGGGTGAGCCTGAAAAACACATTGCAAATATGAACACAGTGTATGGTATAACTTAAATATTAATTATGTATAACACATTTCTTGAATATTCTTTAGAATGATTGTTGTAACATATTCACAATTACTACCATTTGCATCGTAAATGATTTGTCATTCCCTAAATTCAGTTAATGTCAATCCTAGAACTCAAAACTTTCTACTCCTCCCCACATTAATACCTCAAATATCGGAAAACATGTTTTTACCTAGGATTACCCTGTTTTGTGCATGCAAATTAGCTTATTTATAACTTCTACATTACAAAGTTGATGCCTTACCAGGTCCTAGTTGTTCCTAAATGCTGATGTCAACAGTTCAAGGTGTATCTAATTGATCAATTGTTGCTTATATTTCAAGCCGCATAAAATACTACAATTTTTGGGAACCATAGTACAGGAATACCTCCTTTCCTCTCAAGAATATGATACATACAGGGACGTTTTCAGAGAATGGATACTCTCTTTAACCGATTCCTCTCCAGAGCAATTTTCACATTTTTTTCACATGCTATAATCTGCATTTTCATTCAAAAAATTAGATTGCAAGGGACAGAATATACCTGAGGGTTGAGATGCCTAGTTTCTCACTAGCCGAAATGTGCCTTCCAGGTGATATGGTAGATCCTACGGGAGGTTGAGTAAAGTGGGAATGAAAGTTAGAAATGCACCCATCCTTTAAGACCTGGGTTTCAACAGCCATACTGTTAAAACCTGCAACCGGAAAGCAGGATGGAACAAGGAGTCTTGTGACAGGAGGTCTTACGTTGTTTGAAAGAGGCCAAGGCTTGATTGCCAGGCTTCTCTGTACCAAGTTCTACTGGGCCATCGAAAACTGTTCTCCTGGGCCATCGAAAACTGTTCTCCTGGGCCATCGAAAACTGTTCTTCCTCAATCTTGCACAGTACTCAAGGAAGAACACTCATGCACCAGTCTGAACATAAAAGGAATCACCAGAGCATCCACCTTTAGAGCCAGAGGATCTCTGGACTTGGCCACAATCCCAGCCAATTTGGAGGCCATGATGTACACATCTGGTGTACCCTCATTTCTGAAAGAGGATCAGATCAGAAAGATCTCCAGATGGAGATCGCCTAAAGACACTAGCAAAAAACTGGAGTCCGATGGGGTGGGAATATAAGAGAATGCATTTGGGGCATTCCCATCAAAGCTTTTGCCATGGTCCAATCACCTGAAGGGTACAGGATACAGTCAATTGATTATAGCTACAAGCAGTGTGTCCTGTACTGCAGCGTTTTTCAACCACTGTGCCGCGGCACACTAGTGTGCCGTGAGATATTGTCTGGTGTGCCGTGGGAAAAATTGCAATTTCATCCGTAACATGTGGCCTCGGCTCACAAATAGACCAATCATTAGAACAGCAATGGGCAAACTACGGCCCGGCGGACCTTTTAATCCGGCCCGCGGAGTGTGATACTGTCAGGATGATCTGTCCCCCTCGACGTATCTGCGCATGTGCCGGAGATCGCCGATCGGCTGCTAATGCCTGAAACTGGCACATGCGCAGATACGTCGAGGGGGACAGATCCTCATAGGTGACAGATTTTCATGCTACACCGGAACGGCGAGAGGAACGCGTGGAGCAAAGGTAAGTGAATTGACACAGGGGGGGCTTGGGGACTTAATATGGGGGATGAATTACTATGGGGGATGAATTACTATAGGGGGGATAAATTACTATAGGGGGGATAAATTACTATAGGGGGGATGAATTACTATAGGGGGGATGAATTACTATAGGGGGGATGAATTACTATAGGGGGGATGAATTACTATAGGGGGGATGAATTACTATAGGGGGGATGAATTACTATATGGGGGATGAATTACTATAGGGGGGATGAATTACTATAGGGGGGATGAATTACTATAGGGGGGGAATTACTATGGGGGGGATGAATTACTATGGGGGGGATGAATTACTATGGGGGATGAATTACTATATGGGGGATGATTTCTATTCAAGAGAATTACTTTATATATAGTCAATATAGGCACAGAGGTAAAGTTTTTTAACATTTTCTAATGGTGGTGTGCCTCGTGATTTTTTTCATGAAAAAAGTGTGCCTTGCACAAAAAAGGTTGAAAAACACTGCTGTACTGTACAATGGAGATAAAACATTTCTAAGAGGGTCAGTTTCTCCACCTCTCCTATGATGCATAAACTAAATAGCAGAGCTCTTCTGGGTTCCCAAAAAGGACAGCTGAGTGAAGCAGCATTCAAGGACACCGCGTCCTTGATTAGAGCTGCACAAGTGCCGTGGAGGCATCAGAGTGTAATGAGGACATCTGGGGTCCAAAAACACCCCCGGTATCTCCATAAAGAGAGTATGTGTTACACAAACAGGATCGCATAGATCGCTTATTAGCCCCCTGTAATAGCAATCAAGTAAAAAAAAAAAAAAAAAAAAAAAAAAAAAAACACATGCATAAGGAAAGATATATTATAAAATGTTAAGAAAGTTAGTATTTTTGGTTTACCTGTAAAATTCTTTGCTTGGTGTACCATCACAAGACACTGAAGAGTTCATTTACATGACTGTTTGGATTATGCTGCCACCTTCAGGTGAATGAACAGGCATAACCACTGCAAGCTCAGCCAGGCTTCACTTCTGTAGCAAGCAATGAGAAATTCAGATACATAAGGGGAATGAGCTCTTGGCCCTGTGATGTACAACAAGAAAAAGATTTTATGAGTAAACCAAAAATCCTAATTTCTTTGTACATCACAGGACAAAGAAGTTCATGTCAAAGACTACTTGGGATGTCTTAAAGAACTGAAGATGAGGGATAAGCAACACAGCAGCAAAGACAAAACATCCTCAACTCAGAAACAGAACGGAGGTGGGGGAGGGGGAATCTAACTATAAAACTTCAGAAACTTTTGCCCAAAACCGGCATCCACTGAGGCAAAACAACACTTTGACAGAACTTTGGAAACGTGTAAAGAGAAGACCAGGTAACATCCTTAAAAACTTGAACAGACGTTTTATGCTGAATAGCCCAGTGAATACGGACACTCCTGGTAAAAAGGAACCTTGCTTTTCATACAAAAGGCCAAAAAAAATAGGCCGCTGACTCCACCTAGAAAAGTGAATCAAGAAGCAGCCTGACACTTGCAAGGACTCACAGGCAAAACAAAAAGGAGATCAGATTGTCAAAACAAAGCTTTAAACTTCAGATAAACAACTTTAGACTTCTTAGCAAATAGCTTGATCATCATCCAAAGACATCCTTTTACTTAGGACAAAAAAATGGCAACACAATGTCCTGATTCAGGTGGAACAAAGAAACCACCTTAGGTAGGACAGAGGACCAAGGCATCATCACCATCCTATCCTGGTAGAGAATCGGGAAAGGGCAGCCAATTATGAAACCCACTACCGGAAAGGAAACCTTGAGCATAAGGATTGGCAAAGAAATTTCAAAGGGAAAAGCCTACAAAATGGACAAGACCAAGTTAAAGCGGAGCTCCACCCAAAAGGGGAAGATTTGCTTTAAGGACTGGTGCCCCCGCACCCAATTAAGGATTGGCACCTTTGGGGAGTGGGTACCCAAAATGGACAGGTACCCACTCCCACTTTGGTTGCCTAGGGCGATTGGAAGCGGAAATTGTCCTCCCCTCTCCCTCCCTGTATGCTTCTGGGACATGTGACAGAGCAAATATCAGCCACTTGATTGAACAGCAAGGACATTTCACAGTCAGACTGGGGAAAAGCAAAGATGTGCCCCACAATGTACTGTTGGGGATGAAAATCAAAAGCCTCACACCAGGAGAAATAAGCCTTACATGTGTAATGGTATACCTTCCTGGTGGTTGCCTTTCTAGCCTTAAAGGAGGGTAGGAAATACAAGATCAAAAAACACCTCTGTGCGTCAGGGCTTAGGCTGCAACACACATGCCATCACTAGCCAGTAACTCTAAAACAGGATGGAAAATCAAACCCTGCAAAAGCAAATCTGGCCAAACTGGAAGAATCCAAAGCTCGTCTAAAGAGAGATTTATGATGTTGGCAGAACACTTTTTCTTGTCCAAGCCAGTGTGACCAGATTCACCAAAATCCCCTACACCCTTATCCTGCGCAACAAGCGATGAGGAAGAAGCTGAAGTGGAAGAAAGGCATAACTTAGGAAAACCTGATCCCAAAGGAGTCACAAGGGGAATCAAACTACAAACATCTGACGATACCTGGTTAGGGACACACATGTCCACTTTATTTCTGAATCTGGATGTAAAGAGATCCACATCTGGCATCCCCCAGCGCAGACAATCTCTACGAACACCTCTGGGTGAAGAGCCCATTCTCCCCGATTCAGCTACCGAATGCTGAAAAAGTTTGCTTACTGTTCCACACCTGGAACACGCACAGCACAGAAGGCCCGAAAATGAAGTTCTGCCCGAAAATGAAGTTCTGCCCAAGATAAGATCAGGCCCTGCACAACAGCTAGTCCTTCCTTGATAGCTGATAAATGGTGCAGGATAGCATCTGTCATCAAGACCATCCAATTCATCTGAAAGGTTTCCTGGTGCCCAGCATCTGCATGGATATTCACCATCTCAGAGCTGACCTAGTCTTGGGAGTCAGAGGCAGACAGGATATTGAGCTGCAGGGCTGTGGAGTGAAATGTGACATCAAAGTGAACTGCATCAAAGGCAACTACCATCTTCCCCAGCACCTTCATGCATGACCCAACAAGTGCAATGACCACTTGCGACAGCAGTCTTTCCAAGGCTGAAAAGAAAACCACTCTTTGTGGATCCAAAGATACATAAAAATCAGTGAAACTTCAGTTTGCTGGCCTCTAGAAAACAGCACTGCAAACCTCTGACTACCCGAGTCATGAATGTCAACAGACTTCCCCAAACTAGCATAAGTGTTGACACCCCTTCATTGTGAGGTGGATTTGGGGTCTGGGTTTTTCTTAGAAAACTGGGATGGGGGATTCTGCTTAAGAGCTCAAGGCTGGTTTGCTTACAAAAGAAACTCCTCTAGAACTCTGAAAGCATCATCACCTTCTCCTTATTCTTTTGGGGTAATAACATTCTTTTGCCCAAAGTCACCTGCTGGAAGGAGGCATCCTAAGATGGTCCAAAAAAGCTTTTGCCCTCAAGGGCCTGCCATGAGCCGATTCTTCCAGAGAAGTTCTGCCGACTAACATTGAGACATAGGATCCTTCCCATCTAGGCAAACTTAATGCTCCTACAAAGTTTTTCAAGAGCTGGAAAATGGGAGGATCGTCAGGGCCCGATTCTCTGAAACAAAGAACAGGCTTTAAGGGCTTGGCAAACCCCCATCACAGGCTGCAGAGCCACTACTACCTGATAGGATGCCTTATAGGGAGGTCACTAACCTCTTATCCAAGGCATATTTAAAGACCAGGACCCCATCCAATGGAACCATCAGGGTCCTACTCAAGCATAAAATAGCTGGGTCCAGAGCCGGAGAACTTCCTTTTCTTATACAGTCCTCCACGGAGTACTGATGAGCAAACTGCTTTTTGGTGAAAACACTTTCTTCTGGTAAGCAGAATTGGCCGACATCACTTCCTATGAATTAGGGTGCACTGGGAAAAAAAGACTAATGATTTTTTGGAAACTGCAAAGATCCAAAACCAGACAAATCCGAGAGTGGCAGCCTGTCAGTGTGCCAAACTTTGTCAGGAAGCTTACAGTGGTATTATATGCCTGAGACAGCCCTGGATCCTGGGAGGAACCAGACGGAGGATTAACAGTCCTCCCCAGCTTCTACCTCTTACTGCAACATTTTCTTTGACGCTTCATTCTTCCTCAAAAGGTAGAGGGGAAGGAGGACACCCACGTTTATATCTCGGGCATTATAAGCCAGTGACAACCTAGAGCAGTGGTCGGCAAGCCGCGGCTCGCGAGCCACATGCGGCTCTTTACACACTTTAATGCGGCACTTCTGCCTCCTCTCGGGCGGCCGCCCCAAAAGTCAGGACTCTGCAGCTAGCCCAGCAATGGGCAAAATACGGCCCGGGGGAACCTTTTAATCCGGCCCGCGGAGCGTGATCCAAAAAAAAAAAAAACAGCCAGGGCAGCGCGCTCAAATGCAATGATTGGCCAGTCTCGCTGCCACTCACATCCTGATAGCCAGTGATTGGCTGTCAGGATGTATGTAGGCGGGGCAGCGTGACGAACGTGAGAGGAGCTAGGCTCCTCTCACAGTCCGCCCTGAAGACCGGAATGACGCGGGAACACGGTGAGAAGAACGCGCGGAGCAAAGGTAAGTGAATTGACACAGGGGGGACTTGGCTTACTACTTGGGGGGGAATAGTACTATGGGGGATGAATTAATATGGGGGATGAATTACTATAGGGGGGATGAATTACTATAGGGGGGATGAATTACTATATGGGGGATGAATTACTATATGGGGGATGAATTGCTATAAAAACTTATTGAAACTAAAAACAGTGTATCCTATGTATTTTCAGTTTTAAAAATGTGGCTCTCAAAATAAATTTCAATCGTGGTTTTGGCGAGATTTGGCTCAGTTGAAAAAAAAAGGTTGCCCACCACTGACCTAGAGAATGACTACGCTGTCCAGATATGGCTGCAAAGAATTCCTCCCTTGACACAAATTAAATGGAGGACTGTGCCTCCAGAACAGAGGAAATACCAGATAAGAGCAGCATTTCAAAGTTAATCTGTCTCTTTGCAAAGTTATTGCAGGGATCATCTGTAAAGAGAGCTTACCCTGTTGGAATTTGGGAGCCCATCCCATTCCCCCCCACCACATAGCCTGCACAAGGCCATGGCTTCCTGAGGGTTAAATAGTCCTATGAACCCCAGATGGAGTGGCCAGCTGAGAGGAGTATTAGCTGAAGCCATAACATGTGGCAGTCAATACCTGTAGATGTCTCAATACTTGCTGTGGGTTGCAAAACCAGTGACTGCTATGTGCAGGGTTTGAAGGTAGAATGGGGCTAAGCTCCCTTAAGTTTTGGTGAGATTGGACAGGATTCCAACTCTGAGTAGCTCAAAAAAACAGCATGTACATGTTACTGTGGGGCACAGGGCCAGCTGAAAATGCACACACCTGCACCGGAACACCCTTTATGCACTCTGTCACCACAATGTTGCCTCATAGGGAAAAATCATTGCAAACTCCCCAGTACAAAGACCCTGCATGAGGGACTTCCATATTGCTCCAATATAAGCAAAGGCACTCACCATGTCAATAGCTGCAGGGCCAGCAGACCCAGTCCACCTTTTCGCTCTGCTGAGGCTCTGAACTCAGCATTTGAGAGCTCGCTCCTTTGATGGTGGGAATACACAGTAACAGCTGTGAGTCTGTTAGCAACGTCCAAGCAACAAACCAGGACAGGGATATGCAATCTACGTTTTTCAGCCAGGCTTCATGAGGTACGTAAATGCTCTACACCTATAGCAAGGGCATTATCATACTCTGGTCAAAGCTGCACAATTTTGTTTTTATCTACTCCCCTTATTTGCATAGACAGTTTTTTGGTAAAGGTGAACTATACCTTTAGGGAAAAGTAACAACTTCTGTCTAGTAGTCGGGTTATGTAGTTATTTTCTATATGAAAACAATGCTGAGCGATATCATGTATACATTTAAAACCAGAAAGAGAGATGGGTTTATGAGGTAGAGCAAAGAACTTCTGTTTTCAATACCGTATTTAGCACAGGAAAGTAATAGGCAGGACAAGTAACTTGGAAAGCAAGGTTTTCTGACCATGTGCAATCCAAGCTGACACTTCAGTTTTCAAAGCAGCTGCAGACAAAAATCTTCATGTATGTTACCTTATAACGCAGAAACAAGTGAACACAGACACAAAGCATGAAAATGTGACAAGTAAATATGGCAGACTAAAGTGAACACAAGCTAGCAATTTTACAATACAGCAGTATTAAAATTATTACATTTCCTAGATGTGACGGCTGCATTCGTTTTCTTTTCTAGGCTTTATTCTATTTTCATTTGGTGATCTGGCCAGCTAGGCCTTGTTTGGACTTGTGGTTGGGGGGCAGCAAAAATGTGCAGTTGAACTGCATTTCTTTGGCTTCAATTTAATAGTGTATTTAAATCTCCTAGTACAGCCAACCCCCACAACTGACAATGCTGCTGTTTGAAGGTGCCCGCTATGCTTATTCATCCAGAGAGGGGGATCTAATACAGAAGTGTGTTACTGGCCAGATCACCAGGTGAAAACAGACAGAAGAAAAGAAGTCTAAAAAAAGAAAACTAATGCAGCCACAATATATTCCATTTTTGGTTTTGAGTTTAATACTGCTTTAATCAAATATTAGAGAGAAAGGGACAGTGTTAAACTTACCTGTACATCCCCAGCATCTGCAGCTCCTGCTCCAAGACGAGAGGCAGCATTTCTTTTTAGCAGCTGAGGAAAGAATGAAAATGAACACACATCTATGCCACAAACTTATTAATTAAAAAGGCTTATATAAAAGTAATAGTGGGAAGAAGAGTGCTGTCTTTTATAGTAATCGAAATGCGCCCCCAAATAAAAAAAAAAAAAGGGCTGGCTGCTATGGATTTACGCTGCTCCAACATTGTCTTACTGAATAAGTCGGTAGACCAACCACACAGCTACACGCCTTTTCCTGTTCAATACATTTTTATTGATTTGACTTTAAAGAACACATATCATGCTCTACAGTTGCTCTCTTTTATCATATACAACTGCTGAAACATGCAAATAAACAAGTTTTTTGTACTTTAAAATCTGCCCACACAACATGTTGCTTTTATGTTCATCTCCTCTCAACTCCCCCAAGAATGTTTGTGGTGCAAGATATTTGGCTGAGGTGACTGCTGTATCAGTGCTTAACAGCTGTATCTGTGTAATGGTTATCTACATATGCAGCTATAGGAAAGGGGGCAGTGGTTCCACATCCTTTGTGGTCTACATGTGCAGCTATAGGAAAGGGGGCAGTGGTTCCGCATCCTTTGTGGTCTACATGTGCAGCTATAGGAAAGGGGGCAGTGGTTCCGCATCCTTTGTGGTCTACATATGCAGCTATAGGAAAGGGGGCAGTGGTTCCACATCCTTTGTGGTCTACATGTGCAGCTATAGGAAAGGGGGCAGTGGTTCCGCATCCTTTGTGGTCTACATGTGCAGCTATAGGAAAGGGGGCAGTGGTTCCGCATCCTTTGTGGTCTACATGTGCAGCTATAGGAAAGGGGGCAGTGGTTCCGCATCCTTTGTGGTCTACATGTGCAGCTATAGGAAAGGGGGCAGTGGTTCCGCATCCTTTGTGGTCTACATGTGCAGCTATAGGAAAGGGGGCAGTGGTTCCGCATCCTTTGTGGTCTACATGTGCAGCTATAGGAAAGGGGGCAGTGGTTCCGCATCCTTTGTGGTCTACATGTGCAGCTATAGGAAAGGGGGCAGTGGTTCCGCATCCTTTGTGGTCTACATGTGCAGCTATAGGAAAGGTGGCAGTGGTTCCGCATCCTTTGTGGTCTACATGTGCAGCTATAGGAAAGGGGCAGTGGTTCCGCATCCTTTCTGGTCTACATGTGCAGCTATAGGAAAGGGGGAAGTGTTTCTGCATCCTTTTTGGTCACAGATCAAAAAGGAAAAAGAAGAAAGTGAAACAGAGAAAATAAAAATAGGAAAACAGGGAAGGGGCTGGACAAATATTGATAGGTACAAGAAGGAAGGACCAGGGGTTAGAAAGGAGCTTCAGAATCTCATGTATAATCTAGTATAGTTTCCAGGTTCACAATTTATATTAGTGAGGACAGTTTGAAGTTCTAGGGTAGCTACACAGATTGAGTGACACTCTGCTTATACTCAAAGAAGGCTAGTGTAGGTTTCCAACAGCTTTGGCTACATACCTTTTTAAGTAAATCCCTGGCTTCTTGTGTGAGGTAGGGGGGTAAGTTTAGTTTACACTTTAGGATTTTGTCAATGGTCTTTTTTCTGTTTTCACCAGTAAAAGGTGGCTGCAAAAACAAGAAGAAAAAAAATACAAAAAAATACAAAAACAATTCTTACATTTTTTTTAAGGCAAAATTAAATTCTGAAACTACACAAACATATTAATTTTGTATAAGTAATAGTTGAACATTCCTTGGAAATGAATTCAAAATACAGAAGATTAACCACTTGCCCTCCAGAAGATTTACCCCCCCCCCCCCCCCCCCCGACCAGACCACTATTTGCGATACGGCACTGCGTTACTTTAACTGACAATTGCAGGGTCAACACTGTACATAAATGAAATTTATGTAATTTTTTCCCCCCACAAATAGAGCTTTCTTTCGGTGGTATTTGATCACCTGTGCGGTTTTTTAGTTTTTGCGCTATAAACAAAAGACCGACAAAAAAAACAAACAAAACAAAAATAATTTTTACTTTTTACTGTAAAACATATCCAATAGAAAATAACATTTCTTCATAAATTTAGGCCAAAATGTATTCTGCTACATGTTGGCGGTAAAAAATCCTAATACGTGTAAATTAATTGGTTTACGTGAAAGTTATAGCGTCTACAAATCGTGGTATATTTACTGGAATTTTTTTTTTTATACTACTAATGGCAGTGATCAGCAACTTGTAGCAGGACTGTGGTGGAGGGGGGTGGGCATTCTGACACTGCTAATAAAAAGCACTGACACTGAGCTAATGACACTGGGCAGGAAGGGGCAAACATCAGGTGCAATAAAAGGGTTAACAGTGTGCAGTGTTTTACTAGGGAGGCATGCTGTTTTGTAGCTCTCTGCTATGCAGAGATACAAAATAGCATGTCCATGCTGACAGGCGAGAGACCGGTGTTGTTTTAATACAGGCCTCTCTCCTGTCAGCTTTCCTCGATCGCCGAGCATCGGCTGGGACCCAGTGATTGATATTTCTAGCCGCCAATAGTGGCACAGGTAGGGCAGCGCACGTGCCCTACTCGGAAATGCAAAACGCGCGCGTGTGTGTATATATATATACACACATATATAAATATATATATATATATATATACACACACATATATACATACACACATATACATACATGTGATTTTGAGCTGCCCTGCCACCCTGTACCGATATTTCTTCTATAGGACAGAGGGCAAGTGGTTAAAATTAACAGATATTTACTGTGCCAAATCTTTGACAAAATTTAGATAATGAAAATGTTTTAACTACCCGAATTTATTAGCATTTTAAACTAGAATAATGAAATAAAAAGCACAGAAAATCAGTTATGAACAAGAAAATAAACCTACTGCTCCAGTTAGCATGTCATACATGAGGGCTCCCAAACTCCACCAATCAACTGCTCGATTATGTCCACTTCTCATTAAAATTTCAGGAGCCCTAAAAACAACATAAAAAAAAAAAAGAGAAAACCAAAACTTCATAGACTGCAAACACTATGGAGTTTATTTTGAATTTTCATATAAGAGTCCAAATGAATCTAGGTTAGAAAAATGTATAATTCTTGGGTGAGTAAAAAACTTGAAAGCTGTGTGAATACATTTATAAATAGACCCCTATGTATCAGCCAAAAAGTATATAACCTGGCTCCCAGAAGTATCTAATGTTGCAACAGTTCACTTAAAGCATATCTAATGCCAAAAAGGTTTTCCCTTTTTAAGTTTTACATAAAGTGAATGATAAATGGTGAACCCATGTCAGGTTGTCATGTGTTATCTATATTCACACTGACAAGATTCTCTGGTACCTCAGCTTAGAAAGCGTGTAGGAAGATGGGACAAAGCACTACAAATATGTAAATTTTGTCACCCGGGGAGAGAAGAAAAAAAAAAAAAAAAAAAAAGCCAGTGGAAAAAAAAAAATTGTTTTTTTTCTTTTAAGGGATTTATGTTTTAATTACTGATGTAGATGATTTTATACAGTATGTACCTTTAAAGTTTTTAAAGGGGATCTTCACCCTGTATACAAAAATGTACAGTCCTGTAGCTGCTGACTTTAAAAAAAAAAAAAAAAACCCACACACTTACCTGTCCCAGGATCCAGCAATGTCCTCACCCTACCTGACTCTTTGCCAGTCTTCGGCATCTTAACTGTGGGCAGCTGACTCCCAGTGGCTTAACAAAAGGCTGCCCGCTGCACCCCACACGAATGGTCCCTCCAGTCTCCTGGCACCTGTGCCATGTCCCCCAAGAGGCTGCGAGGAAGGAGGCAAGGGCCGGACTTCTGCTCAGATCGCCTAGGCCAGGGGTCTGCAACCTTTAAGACATAAAGAGCCACTTGGACCCGTTTCCGAGAGGGAAAAAAAGACTGGGAGCCGCAAAACCATTGCAACATTTAAAACAAATCCGACACTGCATATATTGCAAAAAACGCTCTGGTCATGAAGGGGGTTTAAGGGCCCAGTAAGCAAAGGGTTAATCAGGGCCACAGTGTATCGTCATAATCACAATCATAGCCTTAGGTCAGTGGTGGGCAACCTTTTTTTTCGACTGAGCCAAATCTCGCCAAAACCACGATTGAAATTTATTTTGAGAGAAACTTTTTTAAAACTGAAAATACATCCCCCATATAGTAATTCATCCCCCATATAGTAATTCATCCCCCATAGTAATTCATCCCCATATAGTAATTCATCCCCCATAGTAATTCATCTCCCCTATAGTAATTCATCCCCCCTATAGTAATTCATCCCCCCTATAGTAATTCATCCCCCCTATAGTAATTCATCCCCCCTATAGTAATTCATCCCCCCTATAGTAATTCATCCCCCCATAGTAATTCATCCCCCCTATAGTAATTCATCCCCCCTATAGTAATTCATCCCCCATATAGTAATTCATCCCCCCTATAGTAATTCATCCCTCATATAGTAATTCATCCCCCCTATAGTAATTCATTCCCCCATATAGTAATTCATCCCCCCTATAGTAATTCATCCCCCCTATAGTAATTCATCCCCCATATAGTAATTCATCCCCCATAGTAATTCGTCCCCCCTATAGTAATTCATCCCCCCTATAGTAATTCCCCCATATAGTAATTCATCCCCCCTATAGTAATTCATCCCCCATAGTAATTCATCCCCCATAGTAATTCATCCCCCATAGTAATTCATTCCCCCATATAGTAATTCATCCCCCCATAGTAATTCATCCCCCCTATAGTAATTCATCCCCCCTATAGTAATTCATCCCCCTATAGTAATTCATCCCCCCTATAGTAATTCATCCCCCCTATAGTAATTCATCCCCCCTATAGTAATTCATCCCCCATATAGTAATTATCCCCCCTATAGTAATTCATCCCCCATATAGTAATTCATCCCCCATATAGTAATTCATCCCCCGTAGTAATTCCCCATATAGTAATTCATCCCCCATAGTAATTCATCCCCCCTATAGTAATTCATCCCCCCTATAGTAATTCATCCCCCCTATAGTAATTCATCCCCCATATAGTAATTCATCCCCCTATAGTAATTCATCCCCCCTATAGTAATTCATCCCCCCTATAGTAATTCATCCCCCCTATAGTAATTCATCCCCCCTATAGTAATTCATCCCCCCTATAGTAATTCATCCCCCTATAGTAATTCATCCCCCTATAGTAATTCATCCCCCATATAGTAATTCATCCCCCATATAGTAATTCATCCCCCGTAGTAATTCATCCCCCCTATAGTAATTAAACCCCCCTATAGTAATTCATCCCCCATAGTAATTCATTCCCCATATTGTGTGAATTCACTTACCTTTGCTCCGCGCGTTCCTCTTGCTGGGTTCCCGCGCCGTTCTGGTCTTCAGGGCGGACTGTGAGAGGAGAGAAGTTCGTCACGCTGCCCCGCCTACATCCGGGCTGCCCCGCCTACATCCTGACAGCCAATGTTTGCCAGCGGGCGCCCGGCACACAGGAGATCTGCATTAAAAGAGCCGCGGCTTGCCGACCCTATTGCCTGTCACCTGGTGGGCAGTGTGCTCCGGAGCCGCAGGAAAGGTGAAAAAGAGCCGCATGCGGCTCCGGAGCCGCGGGTTGCCGACACCCGGCCTAGGCTGTTGGGAGTGGAAGTGGGAACCTGTAAAAATCAGGTTGCCCCCGGCCCCACAATATAGGAGAGGGAGAGGAGGAAAAGCAGAACTTCCCCTTTTGAGTGAAGTTCCACTTTAGGTTTTCAAGTTTTAACCTCTGAAATATGCAATGCAGCAACATTAAAAAACTCAAAGCTTGACTCACATGTACTCAATTGTCCCACAAAAAGTATGAGTGACTGTGCCATCATGAATGGATTCCTTACAAAGGCCAAAGTCTGTTAATTTCACATGCCCTACAAAAGAAAAACAAAAACAAAAAAAAAATTAAAAAAAAAAACACAGAAACTACTTGTAGCAGAAACAAAAACAGTTAAACTATAAATGCTGCCAAAAAACAGAACAGAGAAAGTAACTGCTTTGAATTTTTTAGAAACCACTAAAAACGTACATTAAAAGGCAGCTGACATTTTTACCAGACATGCATTAATATCTTTGAACAACAGTTAATGCATACTTGTTGTATTACTCAAAACTCAATGTATATTTTTAAAAATTTGGAGAAGCTGAAAAGAATTCCAGAGAAAAAGCAGTAAAAAAACAAAAAAAACACTATTCAAAATTAGGTGCACTTCGACATAGAAACCAACCAGCTTCCAGGTTTTATTGCCAAAGCTTAATTGAACAAGCTGAGGGTAGAAGCCGATTAGCTACCATGCACAGGTGCACCAGATTCTGAGTTGCCCAGCTTTAGCAAATCCACCTATAGTAGGCCTCAATCATGGCAAATTCAAAAAAACTAAAACAGTTGGTGAAAGAACGGACAAGCATTCATCACTAAATTACAGGTCAATACCTAAATTTGTAACCCATGAAAAAAAGAGCATAAAACACAGTTTTAGACTGGGTTCACACTAATGTAGTACGGGATACCGTATGTAATTCGCACAGGAATCGCACTGCATTCCTGTGAGAATTACATGCAATATCTGTGCGGTGCAATTTGAGACATACATTTTGTATGGCTCAAATCGTATCGCATCCACACCAAAAAAAGGTGCTGAACCCTTTTTTTACCCGCACCTGAACCTCATTGTATGGGTCTTCTCACCCATGCAATGTGAATTCTGGCAATTGCATTGCATTTTGCATTCTGTTTCGGCATGTCATTAATTTAACATTGTCACCTGCACCAGATTGCATGAACGCCATGAGATTGCAAAGTGGTGCGGGAAACGCACTGGATTCGCATCAACTCCCGCACTGCATCAGTGTGAACCCAGTGTGCTCTTACACGGACAAAAGAAAAATAAAACCCTATTTCTTGCTAGTACCATATACAGATACATTATTAGTCTAATTATAACTATAAACGCATAATTTTTCTTGTTCAGTCTGTGGGCCAAAAAAGAAATCTAACAAATTCCTCCAGCCACACCTAACAGGGTGGATAGCTGAATCTCCCTTCCAGATACTGCATTCAGAAAGTTGCAGCACCCATGGCTATTTCAACATCCAAACAGTGACTGCATCTAAAAGGATGCAGTCACAGTTTGGTCAATAATTTCCCATCCTGCTCCTTGAATTTTTTAATTGAATCTTGTTGAACCAGGTGGTGCCATAGTGCGGTGTATGGCCCAGCTTAATCATATCTAGTTAGGCAATGAGACATAACAATTACCACCACAAAAACATTAGTCTCACATTCACACGGGCTGCTATTCTGCTTTAAAGTGTATCTAAAGGCAAACATTTTTTCAATTTGGATAAAGGAGGGTTATAATCCCAGTCTTTTTTTTTTTTTGCCACCCGTGTCCGATTGGGAAGATTTCCCTTCACTTCCTGTCCCATAGCCAAAACAAGAAGTGAGAGAAAATACCTTCAAGCTGAGGGAATCCCGAAGTCTCACCAGAACTAGTGTCCCCATTAGATTACCCCTCTATTAGTGTTCTGATGTCAAGCGAAAAAAAAAAAAAAAAATTGACAGGTGTTATATATATATATATATTTATATTATACAGAATTTATATAGCGCCAACAGTTTGCTCAGCGCTTTACAATATAACGGGAGAAAATACAGCAACAATACAGTTCAATACAAGAGGGATAGGAGGGCCCTGCTCCTTAGAGCTTACAATCTATCTATCTAGTTTGCCTTTAGTCATATTTTAAAGGGCAAGTTCACTTTGTGTAACATGTTACAGATGCAGCAGGCTGTTGGCTTGTAGTTCTCAATGAATTACCAGGGCACTGTTGAGGGCTCTGGTAGTCCATGAATTATTCCTGTCAAGAATGTAACTGCATGCCCATATCGGATGTACGAGCAGACAGTCTGCTGAACGTGGGTGCAATGTGTTACAGGCTCCTGTGCATTTAATATTTTTTTATGTAAAGGTGAACTTATCCTTTAATGAGGATAAGCCAAATATGACATTATATTGCTGTAAAAGAAAACAAGTGCAGTTTACTGTGTTTCCACCTTGATGATTTAGCATGATGTTCTCTGGTTTCAGATCACGATATATTATTCCTTTTTGATGCAAATGTCCCAAAGCCATTGAGATCTCAGCCAAGTAAAAGCTGAAAATAAATATAAAATCATTAATGTAAAAAGCCAAGGTTTGTGAAAATCTAACAATTAGACATGGTAAATGTTTTTGTTTTGGTGACATTAACCACTTGCCCTCCTGAGGATTTACCCCTCTTAATGACCAGGCCTCTTTTTGCTACTCGGCACTGCACTAATTAAACTGATAATTGCGCAGTCATGCAATTCTGTACCCAAACTAAATCTATGTCATTTTTTTCACACAAATAGAGCTTTCTTTTGGTGGTATTTGAACACCTGTGCGCTTTTTATTTTTCGCGCTATAAACAAAAAAAGACTGAAAATTTTGAAAAAAAACAATATTTTTTACTTTCGGCTATAAAAAATAAAATAATAAACTCAAAGTTAGTTATAAATTTAGATCAAAATGTATTCTGCTATATGTTTTTGGTAAAAAAAAAATCCCAATAAGTGTATATTGATTGCTTTGTGTGAAAGTTATAGCATCTACAAACTATGGGATAGATACTGCAATTTACGCCATTTTTTTGCTATACACCATTGCAACTGACAACTGCGCAGTCATACAATAGGGTACATAAATGAAACTTATGTCCTTTTTTTCACACAAATAGAGCTTGGTGGTATTTGATCACCTGTGCGCTTTTTATTTTTGATGCTATAAACAAAAAAATTATTTTTTTTTTTATTAAAAACTATATTTTTTAATTTTTGTCATAAAAAAAATATCCAAAAAAACTAAAATTTCGTCATAAATGTAGGCCAAAATGTATTCTGCTAAATGTTTTTGGTTAAAAAAAAATCTCAATTCGTGTATATTTATTGCTTTGTGTGAAAGTTATAGCATCTACAAACTATGGGATAGATAATGGAATTTACACAGCTTTTCCTTTCTGACTGTTCATCACATTTCTTGAGGTGCTAAAATACCAGGATAGTACAAACACCCCCAAATGACCCCTTTTCGGAAAGTAGACACCATAAGCTATCTGCTGAGAGGCATATTGAGTCCATGGAAGAGTTATTATTTTTCCACACGTTTTCGGAAAATTACAAAACATTTTTTTTTTTTTTTTTTTTTTTTACACAAAGTTGTCATTTAAATGATATATTTCTCACACAAGCCATGGGTATATGTGGAATTACACCCTAAAATACATTCTGCTACTTCTACAGAGTATGGGGATACCACATGTGAGACTTTTTGGGAGCCTATCCACGTACAGGAGCCTGAAATCCAGTGACCACTATGAAAGCCTGAAGGTGCGTAACTTCCTCATTTCACTTCCTCACTACCTATCACAGTTTCGAAGGCCCTGAAATGCCAGGATAGCACCAACCCCCCAAATGACCCCTTTTTGGAAAGTAGACACCCCAAGGAATTTAAAAAGAGGATTAGTGGGTATTTTGCAGATCTCAATTTTCTCACAAGCTTTTGAAATATATAAAAAAAGAAAAGAAAAAAGGTTTTTGTTTTTCTTCATTTTCCAAAAACTTGTGGCAACAAACGAGATCTGCAAAATACTCACTATGCTTCTTATCAAATTCCTTGGGGTGTCTACTTTCCAAAAAGTGGTTATTTGAGGGGGTTTGGTGCTATCCTGGCATTTCAGGGCCTCCGAAACTGTGATAGGTAGTCAGGAAGTGTAATGAGGAAATAAAGCCCTTTAAAAGCCTGAAGGTGTTTATTGGATTTTGGAGTCCTGTACTTGGCTAGACTGCCAAAACGTCTCTCACATGTGGTACCCCCATACTTGGGAGAAGTAGCAGAATGTATTTTGGGGAGTAATTCCACATATACCCATGGCATGTGTGAGCAATAAATCATTTAAGTGACAATTCTGTGCAAAAAACTACTTTTTTTGTTTATTTTTTTACCACAAGTTTTTGGAAGATGACATTCTTCTGTTGATTCAACATTCCTCTCAGCAAATAGTTTGGGGTGTCTACTTTCCAGAAAGGGGTCTTTTTGGGGGGTAGGGGTATTTTATGCCCAGCATTAGAAGTTTATGCCACACATCATTCACTCTTCTAACCACCTTAAGACTAAGCCTTTTCTGACACTTTTTGTTCACATGAAAAAAAAAAAATCTGTATTTTTTTCTAGGAAATTAATTTAAACCCCAAACATTATATATTTTTTTAAAGCAAACACCCTAGTGAATAATAAATATAAAAAAATAGTGGGTGCTGCAATTTTTTCTGTCACATAGTACTCGCACAGCAATTTTTCAAACGCAATCTTTTTTTAAAAAAATACACGATTTTTACTTTTAATGCACAAAAACACAATATATTGGCCAGTTATTTGGTAAAGTATAAAAATGATGGTATGCCGAGTAAATAGATATTGGGTATATATACCATGTTTTTTTTTTGTATGCAGCCTGTGGGCTGAATGAAAAAAAAGAGAAGAAATCTCTGCCCCCAAAAAAATAAAAAATTTGTGGTATGCCCACCATTAGAATATACCGCCCTGCATCCACCCACTTCTAATGGTGGCACACATTAGGTCACACATTGCCACAAGCGCCAATTCCAAGATTGTACAAATGTTTAAATAGTGGAACGCTTGAATAAAAATTGTCCACGTATAAGTAGTACCCCATATGGAAAAAGGATGGCACAAAGTCCAAAACTATCTTGCCACTACTCCCCATGTAGTCTGGGCATCCAAGGGGCTCCATGTGACTATCTTTTCCCTCGTAAATCCGAAACTTATAAGTATAGCCTGTTGTCCTCTCACAGGTCTTCTACATCTTGACCCCATATCTGGCACGCTTGCTGGGGAGAAATTGTTTGAATGCAGGGCGGCCAGAAAAAAATTAATCAGGGACTCATCAACGCAGATTTTTTGCTGGGGAGTATAGACATCTGCAAATTTTTTACAAGGGGCTGAATGTGTAGCCGGTCAAATTCAGGGTCACCTCAAGGACGACAGAGTGTATTGTCGCTGAAATGCATAAAACACATTATACTCTCATATCTATGCCTGGCCATGGCAGCAGAGAACACGGCATATGATGAATCGGGTCTGTGGATCAATACAACCGCAATTCATTTTTTTTTTTTTTTTAGTAATGCCCATGTTGAGGGTTAGGCACCAAAAACATATAAATTTGAAAACCGTAATGGCTTTCCATGTGAATGGTCTGGCAAGGTTTGAATTTGGGTTGGCGGCGATACATTGTTGTGCATATAAAATGCTTTGATCCATAATCAATGCATACAGATCTTCGTGAACAACAGCTCCAAAAAAATCAAGGGGAGGAGTTAAATTTGCTATTTCACTGGGCAGTGAATGAGGGAAGTACGGGTGCTGCAGAATTTGTGTGTTGCCAATCGGAAGGATACTAAGAGCTCTATGGACTTGTGTGGTGGTTGTGGGACAATATCTGTGCTCGCCACCTCACCAGCTTTTATTGCACTTATGGGACTCGCCACGTCTCCACGTCACCAAGTGATACTGCAGTGCTGGTATTATGATTTATTATTATACAGGATTTATATAGCGCCAACAGTTTGCTCAGCGCTTTACAATATAACGTGAGACAATGCAGCAACAATACAGTTCAATACAAGAGGGTTAGGAGGGCCTGATTCTAAGAGGTATGTGAAAGACCAGGATGTACTAGACCGCTGGTACTCGCCAGTTCACCAAAAGGTAGTGTGGCGCTAGTACTGGCACTCTGCTGCTGCATACGAGAGTCATCAAAATTTACCGGCAAGTGCTAACCGAGATCAGGCCTACTGACACTGCAATTGCTGGGGGAGAAGGGGGGGGGGGATAAGCGTAGGGGCTAAATGCAGGGGCTGATCCCACTAATGCTGCGTTTTTGGGGACGCTATACTATTGTAAATGCTGGTATAGTGCTGATCAAAGATATTGATCCGTTCAGACACTATACTAGCAATGAAGGTTTATTGTACATGAGCGTCTTCCTAGCAATCAAGGGGTTAAATGTGATTATTGGTGTACTGACTTGCAATCTGACGCCATCTGGGAGGGGCCGCGAATCACCTGTGTATATATGTGATTTTGCACACCTGTGCTGTCCTGTAGCAGTATTTCTACTATAGGGCGGTCAGGAAGCGGTTACATAAGTGGTTTGTGTTACGGCGCTGCGTTACTTTAAACTGACAATTGCACGGTCATGCAATGCTGCACCAAAATTAAATTTACATCTTTTTTGCCCCCACAAATTGGGCTCTCTTTTGGTGGTTTTTGATCGCATGTGCGGTTTTTATTTTTTGCGCTAAAAAAAAAAAAGGCCGACAATTTTGAGAAAAAGAACAATATTTTGGACTTTTTGCTATAAAACATATCCAGTAAAAAAAATTTAAAATCAAATTTAGTCATACATTTCGGCCAAAATGTATTCTGCGACATGTCTGCTCAAAACAAATCCCAATATGTGTAAATTAATTGGTTTACATGAAAGTTATAGCGTCTACAAATGGCGGTATAGATACTGGATATTTAATTTTTTTTATACTAATAGCGGTAATCAGCGACTTACGGCGGGACCGCGGCAGACATTCTGACACTGGGGGGAGGGTGATGGGGGGGGAACTAACTTGGGGTCACTGACATCCCCAGTGACACCAATACAGTGATCAGTGCAGAAAAAAAACACTGACACTGTACAAATGGCACTGGGGAGGAAGGGAGTTAACTTCTGGAGACAAAGGGTTAACTATGTGAGGGGATTGTTTTACTAGGGGGCTGGGTGGGGTGTGTGCTTCTCTATTACACACTGTCCCGGAAGGCGGTGACCAGCGATCCCGGAACAGTGAGCTGAAAGCTGACAGGGAATAGAGCTCTATTGAAAACAACGCAGCCTTCCTCCCTGTCAGTGATTGCCGGCAATCGCCGAGCTCCGGCGGGTAATCACCAGCCGGGACCCGATGATTGACATTCGCAGCCGCAATCGGTGCCGCGGGCACGGCGGGCATGCGCCCCCTACCCCGGAATGCAGGATCACGTATATATACGTGATCCTGTGCACAGGGGCCGCCTTGTAGCAGTATATGTACTGTGGGTGGTCCCCTAGTGGTTAAAGAAATAAAGCCATGTCATTTGCTAAACCTTTTTACATATTTTTATGTCAACTGTTTACGAAGGCAGTTTCTGTGAATAAGAATTGTTTACGACATTCCTAGCTGCACTCTATGCTCTGATCTGATATATAGTGCAACAAAACTGGGGCTAATGACTACAGACTGCTATTTATACATACAGTCAAAACACCTAGTTTTATGTGTAATTCATTAATCAAGATTAACCAAGATTTTCCCTGTGTGCTTCGGCAGATGCCCAAAATCTGGAACCTTTAATGAATGTTTGGTGGTACTGCCCAGCTGAACCCACACACCCTTTGTCCAAATTATAAAAATACATAGCAATTATCCTAGATCACCAACCACTGTCCTTAGCATTTTAGAAAAAAAAATATGGGGCCATCTCCAACAATCCGTTTCAAGGTCTAAAATTTACCTTCATGTGCTCTAAATGTTTATCTCTATTGGTGTTTGTTTCTTGAATAAACAAGTCACTTCTGACAGGTTTTCCTGATACCTGTGGTGACAGGAAACTTTCAGCAGATTGACAGTTGTTGTGTGCAAGTGTCCCTTCACTTGACCTTCAGAGCTCTCCTCATGGATGTCTTCAGCTCCCTGCCTTGCACAAGCCCAATGCAAATTCTGCAATCAATTGAAAATGGCTGTAAATAGAGAGGAAACTTACGGAGGATGATTTGTTTTAAATGTGTACTCTGAGTCCAGTGAATGGCATATGTAAGGATTTACAACCACTTTACCTACCTACAGATAGACACAGAGACTGAGTGATGCGTGGAAGCCACTCATCAGGAAGTATGGGTTGCCCATTCCAACGTATAAATACTAGGGTAAAACAAATGTGCTCAATGTTTAAATTTGACTAAAAAAAAGTCAGGTCTTTGTTAGCAAACTTGACCTTGCCCATTTCTCTTTTAACACTCAAAAAAAATCAAAAAAAAAAAAAAAACATGTTTAATACTCAGCCTATGGCAGCCATACACTACACATACATACAGCCACACACACAGTGTGTTGTTCATTGGACACTAGGTACAACAAACAAAGACTAAAAAAGAGAGCAAATGCTCACACCTCAAAAAAAAAAAAAATTAAATATATACATATACACACACACATATACACACACTATATACATATATCTATACACATATACACACATACATATATACACACACACACACACACATACACACACACACACAATACACACACACACATACACACACACACACATACATATACACATATATACATACACACATTTTTGTTTGAGAGTTTAGATTCACTTTTCTGTTATAGTCAGACACTTCTCACCACTTACAAACTGAGGATGCAAAACATTAACAGGACAGCAGTTATTTTCATCATGTTTTGAGACATCATGAATATTTTTATATTCGTTTGTTTAGGTCCTCCACATTATATTTTAGGTTATGTTTTCCACTTATACAATCAAATTTGAAAACCCCCCACTATGTTTGTTATGAGTTACTATTCAAAGTACACCTTAAAAAATTATTTTTATATGTTTCTTATAAGAACATGTAACTGCAACAAGCATTTATGAACAGGTTCAGAGAGAAGCTTAATGGCAGGGCTTATCTGGAGTGACATAAACCGGCCTAGCCTGTCCTCTCACAGCTTGGGTTTGCGGCTCAAGCCAACAGTGCTGTTCTATGTATATAGGCGTTTTATCATTGATATTGGGTAGACACATATTAATGCAAGTGTAATGTATTGTCAATGTGGGAAATTAACCTAAGGATTTAACACTATATGTGATATGGGAGTGTGCTGGATTAACCCCTTGTACGATGGAAAGTAACAACCCTTTCTACACTGAAGAAAATTTGAGACCTACTAGGATGAAAACATTTTGCTGGATTGCTGGGTATTGTGAAGACTGGGCAAATAGTGACATATGAAGCTGCAAATTGTGTGCTGTTTTATTAATAGAGATTGAAATAATTTGTGGGCGAGTTCCCAGTGTGTTTAAGCTGAAGGTTACAAGGTGTTGATAAGGGACTGAGAAGACAATTTTGCATATCAGTACTTATGGCACTTTACTGGTGGATGAAAGACACTAATTGTTTCTTTTTATGCTTGGGACACTTTTATATGAATTTTTATTTAGATCCAGGAACTTGTCACATATTATTGAAAAAAAATATAAACAAATATATTAACTTTATACAGTAAGTTATTTGCCATTTTCACATGCTTTTTTGGATGAAATTTTCTACACATGCTTTTTTTTTATATGTTTCTTTGATGAATTTAAGATTTTTGATTTATATCTGTGATGTACAAATGTAGTCTATTTAATAACCGATTATAGTCATTGCAAAGTCATACTCTTCACTTTCTGAGAAACACTGGCCATACACTGTTTTTTTTCAGTCAGCCAGTGAAAAAGAAACCAGAAACATAAAAAAAAAAAAACATTTCTCCATCCACACAAACTAGGTACCACAGCCACAGTTAACAAAATACTGATACATCTAAACTTTAAGGCTAGGTTCACACTGCTGTGATCCGACTTCCAGTGTGATTATGTACTGCTACTTTACAAAGGTCTGCAAATTCCATGTGATCAAAATCATGCTGGAATTGCACCATAATGCACAAATCTTTTCCAAAATTGTGCAGTGCCGAGTTGCACTGATGTGATCACCACTGAAAACAACAATAGGATTTCCATTGTCATGCGATTTTGTGACTCAAGTTACATCGGAAATCCAACTAGTATGAATGGAGCCTGAAGCTCAGAATGTGGTTTTGTTAATAACCTGTAACCCAGACAGCCGTGTCCTTCTCTTTCACGGTCTTATACTTCTCAGTACTTTCCATCTTTATAGCTGTACCCAACCCTTAACCTATTTCTGTGCCATGAGCGATTATTTCAGAAACCTGATTAAAGAAAAAAAAAAAAAAAAAAATTTACAATCCACTGTACTTTACTCACCAAGCTGTATCTTCCATAAATATTCCTTCCCTTTCCAGCTGCATGAAGAGCTCCCCACCTGAGTTCAACACAGTCATTTATTATAATATTCAGCATAAGTCTGAACGATTGTTGGGGAAATGGGCAAACAAAGCAATATACTGACAATGTAAAAACAAAGAACAGAAACAGTTATCTATGAGCTGGACTATTTGAAAAACTAACCGCTAAGATACTCCAGAATGAGGTAGAGTTTTCCACCAGTTTGAAAGGCATAGATCAAGTCCACAATGAAAGGATGTTTTACTTCTTCTAAGATATTCCGCTCAGCTTTTGTGTGTGCCGTGTCTTTTGCATTTCTTACAATCATAGCCTGGAGAAAGGGAAAAAAAAATATTAATACAAACTCCTGAAACCTGTATATACTGGAATACCTAAATTATTTAAATGGTAGATAGTCAAACTGAAATATGAAAGCAAAGCCTATCTAATTTTAATTTCCAATGTTTTTAATTCTTGTACTTTCAGTCAAAGAATACTTGGTGCCCCAGCCATGAAGTATTCTTGTTCAGGCACATCCAGTAATGAGGTGACAAAACTCTGTCACTTTCTCCTGCACTGTTAAACTGTCCCACAGGTTTCTTATTAAGACTGTATAGCCATTGCAGCACACATTGTACAGACATGGTCCAATCTTTACACCATGTGAAAATGCCATGCAGCCATCACTGTGCATACATGTAAACTGCAAAGAGGTGGCAAGAGATCAGCACCACAGATATGCAGCAAAAGATGAAAAAAAAAAAAAAAAAAAAAAAAAAGAGAGAAAAGTGATTTAAAAAAAAAAAAATGTGTGTGTGAGTGTGTGAGAGTGTGAGTGTGAGTGTGTGTGTGAGTGGTAATGCAATAAGCATTTACACAGGCAGATGAAAATCAATGTAAACGAAATCCTGCCACACAAAAAGAAATCTAATAGTTTAGTGTTCCAATAGGTTAAAATCCTGTGACTATGAGCAGAAAGATACCTATGCTGGTCAATAGCCTTGTAAACACAAGGTTATCAACTACCTTGCCAACAGTACATAAGGACTTTGTAACTACATCAGTATCTGCCTGCACGCTGTTCATGTCCATCACTCCTATTAGCAGCATTGGCTGAGCCACATGATGCAGATATGTGGGTGTACTCTGCCTCGGGCTTGTTCATACAACACGACAGGAAGCCTGGGTTATTACCCCATCAACCTGTCTACAGTTTATGGGCAAAGCAATGTACTGATTACATGAGCTACAGCATGCAGGCTGTGGAAGCAAAGCTAAATTTGATTGTAAGAGTGTCTGTTAGAAAGGCGTTGCAGACTTAGACTATTTTGTAGCTCTACAATTATCCTTTAAGTGAACCCGTAAATAAAGAAACAAGTGAGCTGCCAGACTAAAAATACAGGGTCCCATCTCATTATCAGTAACTCTAACCTAGCACATTTGACTAGTGACTCCCTGGTAGTGAAACCAGAATAAGAATGACCACTTCAGAGCCAGCATCTTATTTTAAAAAAGTAGTCCCTGATTTTCATCTTTTTTCTTTAACCAGGAGTCTGTATGTGTAATGATAAATTACAAGAAAAAGTATCTGGTTTCTAAATAGGTGACTGCAGATATTCCTCAGCAAATGGGAAAAGGTGTCTACATTCTTGAAGTGTAAAGACCCGGAATTGGACAACTTGCGCAATGAACGTTGACAAGAAAGGAGGATGACATTAAAGATCATAATTTTTATGATAGACTACATAGACAAATGTAAGTAGCCATTACCTGTTTGTTGGGCACAGTGGTACAGAGGACTCATGATATCTGTAATTTTTCTGATGTTAATAACTGAACAGTGCCCCACATATCTTCAAAGGCTGGTAACATGCAGCCTCAGTACTGATGGACTGTTGCTGAGCTGTGTGTGGCTTTCATTTATACATAACTCCTGAATGGTGAAGATGTTCTGATCACTCGCTAGTTATATTGTGGTACATGCAAAGCCTTATTCACAATATCTTAGATTCTGTTTAATGGACAAAATCAAAGTGCTGTTATTAATGTACTTAATATTTGTTCATATTTGTATGATTTGTTAATTTTACTTTTCCCTTCCTTTTCTTGTAATATACTCTTAACTGCAATTCATTCTTCAGAACTACATGTCTCATTGTACCAGTGTCATTCTAAAGGGCCAGCCGCAAGACCCTCTTCACTTCAACCAGAGAAGGGACTCTTGGGCTTTTCTTCCCTATCCTTTTATCAGGTTGTCTGTGGCAGTACAAGCAACATCAGCACATCATCTTGTATGCCGATCATGGAAGTACATACTAAAGGAGGGTGCCATGGGGCCACAGCTAGGAAACAGAGCCTTTCTAAACTGGATATTGGTGCTAGCATTCAAAAGGCCTGCTAATTTGAAAGGAAATAAACACTTGGCAGCACCAAGGGGCAGCATGAAAAATATCTTTCAAAAAACTTTATCATCACATTAATTGCATTATACAGTGTATATAAAAAGTCTACACAATGAATTCTTATACTGTACCGCGCTCCAATATTATCAACCTTTTGTGATTAACCTTTTTTGGTTGTGTGAATTTCTTAATATACCACCTATAATCCAATCATTACTTACTTCTATGGTGCTTAAATATACAATTAACATAAATTAATTTATAAATATGAATTAGAAAATTATATGTGATTATAACAAATATTAATGAAAAATTGGAATGTCAATTCTATGTGAATAAAATAATAAAAAATTAATAAAACATAAAAAAAAAAAAAAAAAAAAAAAATTTGACATTCCAATTTTTATTAATTTTTTTTTTTTTTTTTTTTTTTTTTTTTTTATGTTTTATTAATTTTTTATTATTTTATTCACATAGAATTGACATTCCAATTTTTCATTAATTTTTTATTAATATTTGTTATAATCACATATAATTTTCTAATTCATATTTATAAATTAATTTATGTTAATTGTATATTTAAGCACCATAGAAGTAAGTAATGATTGGAGTTATTCTAAAGGTGGTATATTAAGAAATTCACACAACCAAAAAAGGTTAATCACAAAAGGTTGTCTGTTGATAATCAGCACATCATTGGAGCGCGGTACAGTATAAGAATTCATAGTTTGGGCCACACCTAGAAGGGGAGGGTGTAATAAATAGTGCCTGGCGATCCAAAATTTAATTGAAATATAAACACTTAAGCACACAAGGGGAACACTAATAATATCTTTAAGTTAACTCCTGGTGGCTCACAAATAACTATTCTACTAAAAAGTCTACACACCCGTTAAAATGTCAGGTTTCTATGATGTAAAAAAAATGACAAAGATAAATAATTTCAGAACTTTTTCCACCTTTCATGTAACATATAAACTGTACCACTCAATTGAAAAACAAACTGAAAGCTTTAAGGGGGGGTGGGGGGAATAAAACTAAAATAATGTGGTTGCATAAGTGTGCACACCCTCTCATAACTGGGGTTGTAGCTGTGTTTAGAATTAAGCAATCACATTCAAGATCATGTTAAATAGGAGTCAGTACACACCTGCCATCATTTAAAGTGCCTCTGATTAACCCCAAATAAAGTTCAGCTGTTCTAGTAGGTCTTTCCTGACATTTTCTTAGTTGCATCCTACAGCAAAAGCCATGGTCCACAGAGAGCTCCCACAACATCAGAGGGATCTCACTGTTAAAAGGTATCAGTCAGGAGAAGGGTACAAAAGTATTTCCAAGACATTAGATATACCATGGAACACAGTGAACACAGTCATCATCAAGTGGAGAAAATATGGCACAAATGTGACATTACCAAGAACTGGACGTCCCTCCAAAATTGATGGAAAGACCAGAAGAAAACTGGTCTGGGAGGCTGCCAGGCCTACAGCAACATTAATGAGCTGCAGGAATATCTGGCAAGTACTGGCTGTGTGGTACACGTGACAAAAATCTCCGGTATTCTTCATATGTCTGGGCTATGGGGGAGTGGCAAGATGGAAGCCTTTTCATAACAAAAATATCCAAGCCCGGCTAAGTTTTGCAAAAACACACCTGAATTCTCCCAAAAACATGTGGGAAAATATGTTATGGTCTGATGAAACCAAGGTTGAACCTTTTGGCCATAATTCCAAAAGATATGTTTGACGCAAAAACAACACTGCACATCACCAAAAGAACACCATACCCACAGTGAAGCATGTTGGTGGCAGCATCATGCTGTGGGGCTGTTTTTCTTCAGCTGGAACTGGGGCCTTAGTCATGGTAGAGGGGATTATGAACAGTTCCAAATATTAGTCAATATTGGCACAAAACCTTCAGGCTTCTGCTACAAAGCTGTACATGAAGAGGAACTTCATCTTTCAGCATGACAACAACCCAAAGCATACATCCAAAACAAAGGAATGACTTCACCAGAAGAAGATTAAAGTTTTGAAAAAAAGCCCAGCCAGAGCCCAGACCTGAATCCAATCAAAAATCTGTGGGGTGATCTGAAGAGGGCTGTGAACAGGCGATGCCCTCGCAATCTGACAGATTTAGAGTGTTTTTGCAAGGAAGAGTGGGCAAATATTGCCAAGTCAAGATGTGCCATGCTGATAGACTCATACCCAAAAAGACGGAGTGCTGTAATAAAATCAAAAGGTGCTTCAACAATGTATTAGTTTAAGGCTGTGCACACTTATGCAACCATATTTTATTTTTATTTTTACTTCCCTCCACCTAAAAGATTTGTTGTTCAACTGAATTGTACAGTTTATAGGTTACATTAAAGTTGGAATAAAATTCTGAAATGATTTATCTGTGTCTAATTTTTTTACATCACAGAAACCTGACATTTTATCAGGGGTGTGTAGACTTTTTATATCCACTGTATATCCTTTCAGTTAAGGTGAAATGCTGATAATTTATCCACTTGCCTTTGTAGGCCGTATTGATGGCCTTGGTTAAAACAAGCTTACAATGACTGGTCTTTCAGTAAAAGTGAATAAAGCATCTGCAGTGCTGCCCGGATCACTTTTACGGGACTGTGAAGGGCAGTAAAACTGAACAACTGTTCCCCGATTCCCTCTGTGACAAATGAACCTGGACGAGACAAGCAATCCGACCCTTCCGGGTTCAGATCTGTCTTTCCCCAGCTGCGGTGGTCAGGAAAGCAGTTAATGAAGCAGGAGCTGTGCTTGATTAGCTGCAGTAGAGGGTAAGGGAGACCTTAGGGGTCTTGTCAATGCCTTCCATTGAAGCTGGAGTAAGAAAATCTGCGCCTCCACAACAACGACCCAGGTTCAACTACCCCAATAAGATTATAAAAATCAGGAGCATCAACAGAATCTACAGCGTCCTCAATCAGGACTGCTAACCAGACAATAAGCAGTACCTGCTAAACCTCTAATGAAATGTTTCCCATAAACCCTGAGGAACTTTGATGAATAGACAAGGCCCATAAAGAGCCATCAGCACTAACCCCTATGACAAAATACAATTTAAGGCCACTAACCTTTGTTTTCAATATTAGGAAACTAAAATTATTATACGAGCTACACAGAGTCTCCAACCTACTCCTTCAAGGGCCGCTCTCTTCAGATCTTAATCAATGTGATAGAAGAGAGCTTGTTTAAGAGTCTCAAGCTTCAACCCCCCCAACATCTCTCCTCAGAGAAAGAAAGACCATTTATCAGTGGGGCTATCCATTTCAACTTACCACACTGAAAGATGATATAGTTCACACCAACCAAAATGATTGTGCAGACATGCCGTGTAGCCTCGGCCTAATCAACATCCAGAAAAATCAATCACCGGCACACCCAACTACACCTGCTGCTTCTTTATTGATGCAAGCAAATTACCCTTTGATACTTTTCCTAGAACTTCGATCCATTTCAACCTGAGCCACCAATCCACTTGCCTACCAATGACTCTTGCCCTATGTTGTTCCTTCATGTATCCCTAGATTGTAAACTCCAAGGAGCAGGGCCCTCAAATCCCTCTTGTATTGAACTGTTTTGTTGCTGTATTGTCTCCTGTTATATTGTAAAGCGCTGAGCAAACTGTTGGCGCTATATAAATCCTGCATAATAATAATATCCCTCCAATCTACAACTGCCCTTCATTCTGAGTATGCTATTTTCTCCACGATTTAAAGGGGTATTAAACCTAAAACCAAAAATTTTATGTATTGCAGCTTACCAAACCTTAGATGTGGTGGCTGTATTTTAAGCCTTTTTTACCTCTTTTCGCCAGGTGATCTGGCCAGTAACACCTCTCCTGTATTACAGTGCTCCCGCAGCACTGTAGTACTGACAGTAGCACCGTCAGTCTGGAGGGAGGGTAGTGTTAAATGTATTAGAAGATTTACATACACTAACAAATTGAAACCAAACTCTAGCCCATACTGCAGTTACAGCAACAGTTTCTGTTTCCATTTGGGATAGAGGTTTTACATCAATACAAGCTGATCATTCTAAACACGCCAGTGGTAAATGGTTTGCCTCAACACTTTTCAAGAGAGCTTGTTCTACTGAAAAACAGACTGAAAATAAAGGAAAGAAAGTATAAAACAAACTAAGCTGCAATATAATAAATGTTTGCTTTCGGGTTAAACTCTGCTTTAAAGCGGTAGCAAACATATTTCCTTTTTTCAGCTTTCTGATACCTTCATTTAGTGATCCAACAAGCAAGTCTGTTTTTCAAAAGCACAAGCTCTCCAGCAGAATTTATTACAAGGATAAGTCAAACCACTTAACACTGGCAGGGGTTATTAAAATGATCAGCTTTTATTTATTCATGCAAAACCTTTAACCCAAAAGGAAAAACTGTTTGCTGTAACCGATTATAAAGTGGGAGCTGGAGTTTGGCTTCAATTTGTTTAGTGTATTTACAGTAAATCTGCAAATACATTTCAACACTACCCTCCCCCAGGCTCACAATGCTGTCTGCTGTGCCTCCTGTGCTCATTCATCCAGAGATGCGTCTCACTAATACAGGTGTTGTTACTGGCCAGATCACCAGGTTTTGGGAAAAAAGCCAAAGAAAAAAAAAAAAAACACTTATACAGCCATCACATCTAATGATTCATTTAACACCATTTTAAAGCATAACTAAAGACAAAACGTTAAAAAAAAATCAGCACTTTAAGCCTGAAAATGCAGCCAATGGGACCTTCTCTGCAATTTGGTACATTTGGTCTCTTTACTCATCTCTCATACACCTTTTTCCCCATTCTGCCCCTCTCCCCACCTTCCCCTCATCTCTTCTTGGGTGCTCCACCGTCTCTCAATTTTTCCTCTCAAGCTACCTATGGAATTATTCATATTATCAGTGTATTAGGTTGTTTCATTGCTCAGCTTAGATACTTTCCCTATCATATTTTCTATGTCTTGCCCTATGTTTTCTAAAAAACATTTTGTTCTTTAAAAAGGATTTAACTTCCCTAAAAAAAAAAAAAAAAAAAAAAAAAAAAAAAAAAACAAAAACTGTACTCATACCTAAAGGAAATGAAAACAACAAACATTCTCCAGACATTTCTTCTCTCAACCATGCCATTTCTGCTGCTCCTTATAACCAACAGCTTACTACGATTTACCAACATCCAAATCTGCAGAGGTTGCAATATGGAATCATTAAAATCCTTCTGTTCATTTTTCTCACATGTATCTGGATTACAGGGGCAGACACATTATTCTAAAAGGAAATCTCAGGGGCAGAGACCTAGTGATTACAGGCCTCCTAGCATATACCGGCACACTTTTCTTGAAAAGTAAAACAACTCATTCAGTTTAAAATAGAAATGCAAGGCAAAACATTTGTGTATAAAAAAAAAAAAAAAATACACACACAAGTTGAGGTAACATACGCTTTAGTTTTGTATTCTCTCTGATGATATAGGATGATAAAAAAAAAAAAGATTGCTTTTCCTGAACCTATATATGAAGTTACAAAGCCTACAATTGCATACTTTCCATTCTTCACCAAACCCACTTTCCGTGGGCATATTTTTTAATATGATCGTTGTGTTTCCCAGCTATACCCATGCTTTTGGAAATGTACAATTCTACAAACAGATGTTACTGACCGTAAAGTTGTACCTTAAGGGCCTGCCCTCTTAATGCAGTAGTTTAATTTCAGTTTACTAGCAGTCTTGTAGCCCTACTTCTAGATATTTCCCAATTTTGAACCCTATGAAAGTGCCTTTTTCAGATTCACAGGACTGCAACGCTGATGGAGGTTCCAATCCACTGTACCCATTTAATACTTTTATACTGGAAAAAATCAATACATCACATTTTAAAAAAGAAAAATAAATGTAAAAAAAAAAAAAGACTAAAGTGACTGGCAGACAACTTATTTTTCTCCCCACCATACGTCAAGAACCGAACACTGTTATAAAAATTTTGGCCTGCCACACATATTAGGGGGTCATTTTGCATCACCCAAGAAGAATGCTATCTACATGTAGAAAAGTATAAATTTTTTTCCTATGGTGCACAAATATTTTGCAAGTACATTTTCAGGACAGAGTTCAAAGCATATCTCACAATAAACGTTATTTTAGTCAACAGTGACATTTAAATTAAAGTGATACTAAAGTTTGAGAACAAAAAAACACAAACATGTCTATACTTACCTGCTCTGTGCAGTGGTCTTGCACAGCGCAGCTCCGATCCTTCTTTTTGGGTCCCTGCCAATGCTCCTGGCTCCTCCCACCTCAAGCAGTGCCACCGGGAAAGCCGCTCGCCCTGGAGGCACTGCTGCGTGCTTGTCCCCAAGCCACTGCTCTATGCATCCATAAGACACAGAGCCATGGCTCAGCCACGCACCCCTGCTCTCTTCTCATCGGCTCACTGTCTGTGACTGACAGCAGCAAGAGCCAATAGGCTCCCACTGCTGTCTCAGCTAATGAGGAGGAAGAGTCCCCAGGCAGCAGAGGCTGTCGGGAACGTCGCTGGATCGTAGGGAGCTCAGGTGAGGATTGCACACAGATGTTTACTTTCATGCATAGAATACATAATGTAAAAACCTTGAGCCTTTAGAACCACTTTAAATAAGTTAATGTTTTTTGGAAAAAAACAGTGCATTATTTATGTGCATTACCATTTCCTGCAGGAGCCTGGAAAGTACTGCACACTTGATCAGTGAATCAGGGTTGCAATGTTGGCCTCTGCAAAAAAAGCCCTGCAACTTTCAGACTGAACCTCTATATGGGCTGTCTGTTTGAAAGCTGCAGGGCTTGTGAATGAACTACAAGGGCATTCATCAGCGCCCTCACAGTTCATTGAGAACTACAAGCCATGAATGAATGAACAATGTGGCCATATGGGCGGAGCCCCACAGTTTTTGAATGACAGCGGGTGCAGAGAAAAGATCCTCTCACTCACTATCACCCTGAAGGCAAATGGAAAAATCTGTAAGAAACCAAAGTTTTACCTTTTTTAGAACTTTCATGGCAAATATTTTTCCAGTATGAGCTCCAGCTACTTTTCTTACTTGAAAAACCTGCACAGAAAAAGAATACATTCAGAAATGTTAACAGAAGGCAAGTTACATCACACATATAGGACACAGTGCCTCATTCTCATACTACAGATACACAGACCTGAGGCTGTAGATACAAGTGCCTAGACATCCTCACATACCAGTATTTACTAATTTATACTGTATATTTTTATTGCAAATTTTTTATTCAGATTTTTCTGCAGTTAGGATACATAACAAGGTGTCAAAAAGTAGAGTTTTAAAAAGCAAAAATCTAAAAATACAAAAGTTAAATCGTGTACGGGTCAATATCTTTATAAGGACGGATTCCATACAAAAAAGGTAGTTTCAGGGTATCGTTTAGGCAGTTTTTTATTTTTACATTTCAGTCCCATTTTAGGGGAAACATGTTTCTGCCCATGCAGAACAAAAAGAGGATTATTTTATGTGCTCCCCTGTTGTACACTTTCCTTTCCTTTGTTCTCCTGGATGCTGGAGCAAAAAAGGACATATTTATAAACTCCAAGCCATGACTTGGACATTGCAGAGGATTTGGACTTTCTCCTTGCTCCCCTTGGACTGAGTGTCCAAATCAGCCAATAACCAAGTACCAGTGCAGTTGTGTGGATGGAACGGGAGTGAAAGGAAGGTAAGCATATGCAGTCAGTGAGGGAGCAGTTAAAAGTAATTGTAATCGTTTTGTTTTTTTCAAATAAACATGTTGTTAAACCTGCTCCGTGAAATGGTTTTGCACAAAGCGGCCCAAACCTGTTCTTCTGAGGTCCTTGCTAGTGCAAGCCACTTGCTATGGGGGGGACGACTCATGTGAGCTCGATCCCAAGCCTGGCTGTGTGTGTCAGGTCACAGACACACACACACACACACAGTGTGGCTCAGCCAATGGCTCCTGCTGCTATCAAGTCTCTTGTGAGACTAGAGAGAGGGGAGAAGAGCTGTTGCAGACCGGCACAGCGCTGGATCGAGATTGGGCTCTAATAAATGTTTAAGGGAGGGCTGGGATCAGCTTTTGAAAGGTTTTTTACCTGAAGAGAGAGAATGCATTAAGGTATAAAAAAACCTTCTACCTTTACAACCACTTTAAGTGAACCTCCATGAGTAAAAGTACATGCTAAGTTTAAAGTGCTAAATTTCTACTTTACATAATTGCAGTAGAATAATGCACCCTAGCAGGCTAGACAAAGTAAATATGTGCTTGCTTATAGAAAAGTTTAAATTACTATATAAAATAGTATAACACTTAGTGTGGTCAGTTTTTAATAGGAAAGCAGAGGAACTGACAGGAACCAAGGATTTCACACACAAAAAAAAAAATACAAAGAAAACAGGATACTTTTTCATACAAGTACATGGTACAGCAGGCACATATCAGGAATATGACATGTAGGGTTTGCATACTTCTTTAACCACTTTCCCACCCTACCTGCGCTGTTATTGGTGGCTAGGGATGTCAGAGGGTCCCAGCCAGGAATTGCTGGGTAAAGCTGACAGGGGAGAGACCTGTGTGTAAACACAGGTCTCTCTCCTGTCAGCATGGACATGCGGTTTTGCATCTCTCTGCACAACAGAGATACAAAACAGCATGTCTTCCTAGTAAAACACAGCACACGGTAAAAAACACAAAACAGTTAACCCTTTGATTGCCCAAATGTTAACCCCTTCTTGCCCAGTCTCATTAATGGCCGCCATTACTAGTGTAAAAAAAATTAAGGAGTCCAGTATATATACACTACCATTTGTAGACGCTATAACTTTCACGTAAACCAATTAATTCACACGTATTTGGGATTTTTGGATTTTTTTTTTTTTTTTAGCAAAGACATGCAGCAGAATACATTTTGGCCTAAATTTATGAAGCAATTTGATTTTTTTTAAAGGATAGGTTTTATAGCAAAAAGTCAAAAATATTGGGGTTTTTTTTTTCCAAAAATGGCGTTTTTTGTTTTATACCGCAAAAAATAAAAAACCACAGGTGATTAAATACCACCAAAGGAAAGCTCTATTTGTGGGGAAAAAAAAGGACATAAATTTCGTTTATGTACAGCGTTGCATGACAGCGCAATTGTCAGTTAAATCAATGCTGCGCGCCATATCGCAAAAAATGGCCTGGTCAGGAAGGTGAGTAAATCCTCTGGAGTGAAGTGGTTAATTAGGTATAAAGTAGCAACTTCCAAGACCTTGCTGTCAGGCCAAATCTCAGGCAATTCTGACAGGCAAAACTCCAGTGTTTCATAGCAATGTAAAAGGTTGCTTGCTTCTTCCTACCTTCTGCACATTCCTACTAGCTGATAGTCCAATAGCTATCAGTGGGAGGCAGGTTGGAGCAGAAAGCTTCAATACCTATAGATCATTAATGATCGGCTTGTGATTTACCAGTAGCAGTAGGGTCACAGACTTTTGCAGGTATGTGCAGTCATTTTAAACATTCTCCAAGTTATAAACTGGAATAAATAAATGTAGCTTTCTTTGTGCTTTCACTTACCTTGCCATAGCCACCTTTTCCAAGTACTCGGAGTAGCTCAAAACATTCTGGTCTGATCTTTTCTGGCCCTCTGTTCACACTGGTTTCTGAGATCTCAAACTTCTCACAATGTTCCATACCACTAAATGTAAAACGTACGGTTTATTTCCATGCAACAGAATGAAATAAGTCTTTAATATGTCTGAGACATGCATATACACTGATCTAACCCTGTATGCTTAGAAACAAATCATGAAATATTCAGCAAACATTAACATTCGAAGGCTAGAACAAAAAAATTACAATAGGATTCTTAACTTACCAGTAAAATTTCTTAATATAGCACAGGACCTTTATTAATTAGCATGGGTAGTATGCAGCTACTTTCAGGTGAACGAGCACTAAAAAAAAAGAGAAGGTTGCAGGGACACCCCCCTAGATAACACCTCCCACCTAGAGAGCATAGTCCTGTGTCTCATACTATAGGGGCCCTTGATTAAATTAGGCTTTACTATGTAACCCTATCCCCTAAATCGTGTGTCAAACGCAAGGCCTGCGGACCGAATCTGGCCCGCCAGGCTATTTCATGTGGCCCTTGCACCCAGGGCTTTTTGTGGCTACCTCTAAATCTCTCCCTCCGCTTAACACTGTCACTCGTAAACATAGAAGTCTTCTGTGTTTAGAAGGGCAGCTTTCCTCTCGATGACCCTCACAGATTTCTGCCTGCCCTACACGCACTGGAAGCGGAGCAAGGTGGGGACAGATGCTGACCAATGATCTCTGCAAGTGAGAGGTGGAGCCGCCTACACTGCCAGGAGGTACTACAGAGCCAGGTAGGTGAGATGCGAGGAAGCTTTATTATTGGGAGGATGGGTGAGCGCTGTGGAGGAAGATGTGTACAGACATGGGGATGGGTGAGAGTGCTCATGATATCAGAGCCGAGGAGGAGGGGTGGAAGTGAGATGTGGACAGCCTGTGAAAGAGCTGAGCCCTGCACTCTGTACATAATAGACTCCTGAACCCTGCACTCTACACAGCGCACCCCTGAACTCTGCACGCTGTACATCGCATACTCCTGAACTCTGCAATCTGTATGCAATGCACTCCTGAACTCTGCACTCTGTCCATAGAGCACTCCTGAACTCTGCACTCTGTCCATAGAGCACTCCTGAACTCTGCATGGTGCGTACCCCTAAAACCTGCACTCTGCAGGGTTCAGGAGTATGCAGTGTACAATCTGTATGCAACCATAATGCTGATGCAGCTCGTAGTAGTTTGACATCCCTGCACTAGACAGACAAACAAGCACCGGATTTTTTTTTTTTTTTATCTGCTGGGAAAGGAAGAGGGGGAGACATTTTTTACTCCTTACATGCCTGGAGTTAGGCTTTAATTAGTAGTAATTTAAGTACTGATGTTACAGACAGACCAGTAATGACAGGGAAAACATATCCACAATTTCAACATGTGGCAGGCTCTACAAACAGAATATTCAGAATATTCTGAAACGCCTACAAATCAAACACACTGCTTTTAAAGCAAATATAAACAAAAACTTACAGTTCGTAGGATATGTTTCCATGGTCCATAAATTCACTTATGGTGCCCTGATGAAAGAAAAAAAAAAAAAAAAAAAAAAAAAAAAGGAGAAGAAAATAAAATACCACACTGCAAAAAAAAAAAAAAAAAAAAAAAACTGCATTTGATTACAACAGTCAACAATCAAATTGCCAGACAGCAGACTAACGTCAAACAACTTTCAACATAAAAACTAGCTATACAGAGGAAGAGCCTTTGGTAAGTATGTGAAAGTATATTCTTGCAAATGAGTTCTATTTACAGAAATCCTTGTTGAACTTAACCCATAGCAATCTTGCATATACTAGAAAGTGGCTGTATTTCTGGAGTTCAGCTTTTATTCATAGGAAATCATTGACTCTGAAACAAGTATGCACATTAGAAGTACTGAATTTCACGCTTCCTGTATTCTTGTTCTGGGTCTGTAGCTTAAAAAAAAACTAAAGCTGAAAAAAACTTGTCAATTGGCATTTTCTAAAGGAGTTTAGAAGTGACAGCCCCCATATTTTTCTCAGCACTAATTTTCTTTAAAGCGCAGTCCCACTCACCCTGTCAAAAAAATAAAAGTCAGCAGCTACAAAAACTGTAGCTGCTGACTTTTAAAAAACAGCCATTTACCTGTCCCTCGGTCCCGCGGTGTGTCCCCCGCAGCCCGTTTCACTGGCGGTCCTGTATTCCAGGAGGCCGGCATCTTTAGTGTGGGCACCCGGCTGTGCAGCTTGCGGCTTCATAGCCGGGTACCCACTGCGCATGTGCGGGTAGCAATGCGCTTCATGAACGGTCCTGTAGTCTTCTGGGACCTGTCATGTGTCCCAAAAGACTACAGGGAGGAAGGGAGGACACCTTCCGCTTCCGATCACCTAGGCGATCAGACCGGAAGTGGGAGCGGGTACCTGTCAAATTCGGGTACCCCCTTCCCCCCCTCCCCCAAAGGTGCCAATCCTTAATGGAGAGCAGTCTTTAAAGCGTAACTACCCCTTTTGGGTGGAGCTCCGCTTTAAACACTGCTCAGGATGGTCTACAACATCTCTATGATATTTTAGGGCAATATGTGAAAGAGTGTTACAGGAATAAGACATATCATGGCTTTATTCAAATTTGAACTACTACTTGGCAGCTGTAGGAAAATAACAAGTGATCAATAAAATTGCTGTTTTCTTTTTTTTTTTTTTTTTTAGGTAAACTTACAAAACAGCCTGTGGGTGAGTTTGTAAAACTACATGTGCTTTAATATTGTGGATTGAACCTTTGTTGATTAAATGTAATCCAACAACCTTTTTTTTATTATCTATGATTTACAAAGAGCAGTAATTCTACTAAAGCCATACAGATTACTAAACCCTTAAAAAGCAAACAACTGCATTAATCCCTGGTAATTAACTTTTCTCTTTTACAACACAACTCATGCATGATCGATGCTAAACTTTAGATTTTTACCATACATACATTAAGCAGGTAAAAATTCTGTTCTCTACATTACAAATAGAGGGATGTGCAATACCTATAGCCCATTGCCCTGGACATGCAGTTCCAGGCGTTGGGCAAGAGGTTTTTCTTTATATTTTGCCCTGCTGCAGGCAAGCAGCAAAAATTAGAGCCGAAGGTCAGCTCTCTTGTAAAAGAAAGTGGCAAATTAGCCACTGCAATGCTTTTACAAGCAGCGGAGGGGACATCCCCCCTTCTGCAGCCTGTCCTGGCACACTAAGACACCCAATCAACTATCTGGCGCTTCCGCTGGCTGATCAGAAAGGCGGACAAAGACAGGAGCTGCTCTTTCTGCCTCTGATACAGGAAACAAGAAGCGATAAGCATACATCACTTACGGATTCTCGTGATAAATAGCACCTGTCACTGCCTATTGCTGTCACAAGGGATGTTTATATTCCTTGTGAAAGCAATAAAAGTGATCAAAAAAGAAACAAATTAAAGGGACAGTGTTAAAATAATTCAAAGAAACGTTTAAAGCATCCCCGTCCCAGCACGCAAAGGCGAGTGCATGCGTCGGTCCTGCACACATGCAAACAGCCCACACATCACCGAGAATGTCAGACCATGGGAAATAATTCTAGCACCAGACCTCCTCTGTGAATCTAAGGTGGTAACCTGTAAAGGATTTTAAAGCGTCACCTATAGCAAGATAGTAAAATTTACATTGCTTGTTGCCACTGCATGGGCGTGCGCAATTTTAATGTGTAACATGTTTGCTATCTATTTACTCAGCTTAACAGCATCTTGTATAGTTTACTAAAACCTGGGTTTAGTATTGTGTATTTTTGCATTAAAATTTAAAAAAGTGTATTTTTTCCAAAAAAATGGCGTTTGAAAAACTGCTATGCTCTACTGAAAAAAAAAAAACCAAAAAAAAAAAAAAAAAAGAAGAAATGCATGTCTAACATCTGATGCACTGATTTGCATGTTCATGAGGGAAATAAGTATTTGAACCCCTATCATTCAGCAGGATTTCTGGCTGCCAGGTGTCTTTTTATACGGGTAACAAGCTGAGATTAGAAGCAGTCTCTTAAAGGGAATGCTGATAATCTAATTTTGTTACCTGTATAAAAGACACCTGTCCACAGGAGCAATCAGATTCCAAACTCTCCACCATGGCAAAGACCAAAGAGCTGTCCAAGGATGTCAGGGACAAGATTTTAGACCTACACAAGGCTGGACTGGGTTACCAAACTATCACCAAGCAGCTTGGTGAGAAGGTGACAACAGTTGGTGCATCATTCACAAATGGATGAAACAGAGAACAACTGTCAGTCTCCCTAGGTCTGGTGCACCATGCAAGATCTCACCTCGTGGAGTGTCAATCAGGAGAACAGTGAGGAATTATCCAAGAACTACACGCGAGGATCTTGTCAATGATCTCCAGGCAGCTGGGACCACAGTCACCAAGAAAACAATTGGTAACACACTACCCGACAAGGCATTTGCCACTGAACATCTGAATGATGCAGAGGAGGATTGGGTGAAAGTGTTGTGGTCAGATGAGACCACAACAATGCTCTTTGGCATCAACTCAACTCGCCGTGTTTGGAGGAGGAATGTTGTCTATGACCCCAAGAACACAATCCCAACTGTCAAACATGGTGGTGGAAACATTCTGCTTTTGGCGTGTTTTTCTGCTAAGGTGTCAGGACAACTGCACCGCATCAAAGATATGATGGACGGGGCAATGTACCATCAAATCTCGGGTGAGAACCTTCTTCCCTCAGCCAGGGCATTGAAAATGGGTCATGGATGGGTGTTCCAGCATGACAATGACCCAATACATATGGCCAAGGCAACAAAGGAGTGGCTCAAGAAGAAGCACATTAAGGTCCTGGAGTGGCCTAGCCAGTCTCCAGACCTTAATCAGATTGAAAATCTGTGGAAGGAGCTGAAAGTTCGAGTTGCCAAACATCAGCCACCAAACCTTAAAGACTTGGAGAGGATCTGCCAAGAGGAGTGGGCCAAAATCCCTCCTGAGATGTGTGCAAACCTGGTGGCCAACTACAGGAAACGTCTGACCTCTGATTGCCAACAAGGGGTTTGCCACCAAGTACTAAGTCATTTTTTGTGAAGGGGATCAAATACTTATTTCCCTCATGAACATGCAAATCAGTACATAATTTGTTAGACATGCATTTCTTTTGAATTTTTTGTTGCTATTCTGTCTCTCAGTTTTACAATACACCTACCATTCGATTTTTAGACTGATCATTTCTTTGTGAGTGGGCAAACATTCAAAATCAGCAGGGGATCAAATACTTATTTCCTTCACTATATATATTTGGGGTTCTAAGAAATTTTCTAGCAGTTTAAGATGCCACACAGACCCTGTGACATTCCTAAAAGCACATCTGCCTAATAAAAAAATATCGATCCTTCATATTTTCAATCCTGGCAAAAAATGTTTTGGGTTTTTTTTAATCAGGACAAGTAGATTGTCATGAGGGAGAAGTAAATTGGAACCCTGATTTAGTCCTTGAACAAGTAGTTTTTGGAAAAATTTTCACACCCCTGAAACTATACATTTTCTACAAAACCGATTAACTTGTGATGATGCTGCAAGTGAAAATGGGAAACTGGCAACATTATATGAGTAACAAAAGAAGTTTTTTCCCATACAAATGTTAAAGTGGAATTCCACCCAAAATGGGACATTCTGCTTTAAGTCCTCCTCCCTGCCACATTTGGCATGTCATGTGAGGGAGGGGGGGGGGGGGGGGAACGGTAAACTGTAACAGTAATAAATTACTATTCTGGCCAGTTAAAAGAATTAAATGCTCAAATGATTGATGCAGTTAAACATGCCTGAACACAATACACACTTTTACAAGTGTCAATTGTTTTTTTCAGCTGCTCCTTGGGGCTTCTAGCATTTTCTTTCTGCCTCTACAGGCCCCTGCATGTTAGCCTATGTGCCCATGCACACATACGTGTTTCCAGGAGTTTAGATGCAGAAACAAAAAATATAAAAATAAAAAAAACACACCACACACTGCCAGAGCATCCACAAGCTGCAGCGTTTTGATAGAAAAAAACAGTTGACACTTGTAAATACGCCTAAGCAGTAGGCGCATTTAGCACTTGAGCTTTAATTCATTTTGATGGACAGAACATATCATTACTCTAGTCAATGAAACTAATGTCCAAGCGCTTGATGTGCTTAAACGCATTACACACTTTTACAACAATCAGGTGTTTTTCCTGCCAAAATGATGATGCTAGGAGTAAAGACATCTAGGAGAGATAGAAAAACATTCAGTGTGCCTAAAAATTGCCATACCTAAACCTCAGCTTTTAACTGGTTCTAAAGTCAAAAAGGTTTTTAACCCGAATGCATTCTATACAATATGGCCCATTTCACACGGGCGTTCCGTATGTCTGTTTTTCATCAGTCAACGAACAGCAATGCACTCCTATGGGCAAACAAATGTAAACGGCTGATCATCCGTTTACATCTGCAGTCATTCAGGTCTCTTTATTTAAACTGAACAAGTCTCTATTTTTGATCTGTTTAAAGGACAAGTTCACCTTAAAAAATAAATAAATAAATAGTAAATGCACACTGTTTTGCAAGTAAAAAAAAAAAAGTACATTTATTTATTTTTTTTTACTTGGCGTCTGTAAAGCATTGCACTCAGATACCATGCAGGACTCCTGCAGACTTGTGAGTGTATCTGTGTGCTTGTACCTCATACGGGCAGGCAGATACAAACTGACAGGAAGAGAATCAACTACCAGAGAGCTAAGCAGCGCCACGATAGTTGGTTGAGAACTACAAGCCAAAAGATACACAGACTGCTGGTACTTGTAGGTTTCCATTCACAATACTCTGATTGTATGATGTGGATGGATCCTGTTTCTTTTTAAATAGTGCCAGCATCCACCAGCGTCCTATCAACCAGTGACTAAAAAATGCTAAACTGAATGCAGTTACTCTGCGGGGGGGGGGGGGGGGCAGTATCAATATGTACAGTAGACAAAGGGGGAAGGGGGCAATGTGTGCAGAGAGGAGCAGTGTTAACAGTGACAGAGAAGTGTGTACATACAGGCTCCTTTACTTGCCAGCTCTGAATGCTATCGCCAGTTCCTTTGTTTACAATAGAAGGAGTTGTCATTTGGCCCTGCTGCTGAAGTAGAGAAAGGGGCAGGTTAACTAGGTGACCACGCCCATTTGTTTACATTCACAATGGGCTGAACAACAGCTCCTTCTAAAGTAAACAAAGGAACCAGCAACTGCATTTAGAGCCAACGAGGAATCCTGCATGTACACAATGCCCCCTCACTGTAAACACAGCTCCTCTCCTTGGACACACTGCCCCACCACCCATAAAGAATACCTGTCACCTATATGTTATCAAAAAGAGGGCTATGTTATATATCAAAAAAAAAAAGGGAGAAGAAAAAAACAAACAAAAAAAAAACAAAAAAAACTTTTGAACCACTCCACTGCCACATAGGCACACATATATACAAAAATGAATGCATTCAGGTGCCTACATATAAAAACAGCAATAGCAGTACACATGTTAAATATCACAGCACACACCAGAGTGAGATCAATCATTTTTGCACCAGACCTGCTGGGTAACTGAAGTGATGACCTTTAAAAGCACCACCTATGGAAAATATAGGGTATTTATTTATTTACAGTTTCATGGGTGCACACAATTTTAATGCTTGACATGTTGGGTATATATTTACTCGGTGCCACTTCATCTTTTATATTTCACAAAAAAATTGGGTACTTTTGTGTTTGTGTGCCCTGTACTTAACTCTGTGTATTTTTTTATTTGTGTGTTTTTACTGAAATGTTGCGTTTCATAAACCGTTCAGCTAACAACATGTGATATAAAAAATTGGAACTACCTCTAGGGAATCTGCTTTCAGAAAATATGTTTGGGGGTTTTAAGCAACCTTCAGTCCTAAAATGTAAAGAAAAAAATGAAAAATTGAAAAAATGTCTCCGGGCTTCAAGTTAAGGACTCTAGCTGGTGGATGAATAAAACATTTTTTTTTTTTTTTTTAATAGTGACTGTAGCTTCTCTTTAACCACTTGCCCTCCAGAGGATTTACCCCCCTTCATGACCAGGCCATTTTTTGTGATTCGGCACTGCGCTATTTCAACTTGTAATTGCACAGTCATGCAATGCTGCACTCAAATGAAATTTATGTCCTTTTTTCACAGAAATAGAGCTTTTGTTTGCTGGCATTTCATCACCTCTTTGGTTTTACTTTTTGCTCTATAAACAAAAAAAAAAAAAAAGACCGAAAATTTTGAAAAAAAAACATTTTTATGACTATTAGCTGTAGCTTGACTCCCTCTGTGTGAGTGTAGTATCCCCCCCCCCCCCCCCTCGCTTTGACTGCATCTCATCTCTAGCCTCCTTTTTTTTTTTTTCTTTTTTCTTTCATCTCTTCTAACATTCTGCTAACTTTGTGAGTAGTACTGCTTAGACCTTGAAGAAGGGGACATTCCCGAAAGCTTGTTAACATTCTGCTAACTTTGTGAGTAGTACTGCTTAAACCTTGAAGAAGGGGACATTCCCGAAATCTTGTCTAACATTCTGCTAACTTTGTGAGTAGTACTGCTTAGACCTTGAAGAAGGGGACATTCCCCGAAAGCTTGTCTAACATTCTGCTAACTTTGTGAGTAGTACTGCTTAAACCTTGAAGAAGGGGACATTCCCCGAAAGCTTGTCTAACATTCTGCTAACTTTGTGAGTAGTACTGCTTAGACCTTGAAGAAGGGGACATTCCCCGAAAGCTTGTCTAACATTCTGCTAACTTTTGTGAGTAGTACTGCTTAGACCTTGAAGAAGGGGACACTCCCTGAAAGCTTGTCCTCAAAATTGTATGTTAGTGCAAATAAAAAAAAGTATCACGGACAGTACTCAATTGTTTCTGAAAAAAAAAAGATGTTTCACTTTTGGTTATAAAAAATTTCCAATAAACTCAAAGTTAGTCATAAATTTAGGCCAAAATGTATTCTGCTACAAGTCTTTGGTAAAAAAAAAAACCTCAATACATATATATTAACTGGCTTGTGTGAAAGTTATAGCGTCTACAAACTATGGTGTAAATATTGGAATTTACGTAGCTTTTACTTTCTGACTGCCTATCACATTTCTTCAGGTGCTAAAATGCCAGGGCAGTACAACAACCCCCCCTCCCCAAAATGACCCCTTTTTGGAAAGTAGACACCCCAAGGATTTTGCAGAGGCATGTTGAGTCCATGGAACATTTTATTTTTTGCCACACATTTTTTTAAAATGACTATTTATTTTACACAATGTTGTCACTTAAATGATATATTGCTCATGCATGCCATGGGTATATGTGGAATAACACCCCAAAACACATTCTTCTACTTCTCCCGAGTATGGGTATATCACATGTGAGACTGTTTGGCAGCCTGACTACATACAGCCCCCGAAATCCAATGACCACCTCCAGGTTTTCAAAGGGCGCATTTATTCAGATCACTTACACAGTTTTGAAGACCCTAAAATGCCAGGATAGTACAAACACCCCCCCCCAAATGACCCCTTTTTGGAAAGTAGACACCCCAAGGAATTTAATAAGAGGCATGTGAGTATTTTACAGATATCATTTTTGTCACAGGGTTTTGAAAACAGAAAAAAAAAAAAAAAAAAATACATTTTTGTTTTTTCTTTCTTCATTTTCCAAAAACATGTGGCAACAAGTGAGATCTGCAAAATACTCACCATGCCTCTTAGCAAATACCTTGGAGTGTCAACTTTACAAAAAGGTGTCATTTGGAGGGGGGGGGCTTCTGGCATTTCAGGGCCAACATTAAAAGCATATGCCACACATCACCCACTCTTGGAGACCAAGCATTTTCTGACACTGTTCACATGAAAAAACAGTTTTTTTGCTAGAAAGTTACTTTGAACCCCCAAACATTATATATTTTTTTAAAGCAGAGGCCCTAGAGAATAAAACGGTGGTTGTTAAAATTCTTTGTTACACAGTATTTGCGCAGTGATTTTTCAAACGCAAATCCTTTGGGAAAAATACACTTTTTAGAATTTTAATGCACAAAAACAATTGTTTGATAAACTATAAAAAGATGTTACATTGAGTAAATGGATACCAAACATGACATGCTTTAAAATTGCGCGTTCCCGTGCAATGGCAAAGTATATAAATTTTTATTATCGATAGGCGACGCTTTAAAAGCCTTTACAGGTCACCAATTTATATTTACACAGGAAGTCTAGTGCTAGTGGTGGGGGATTAGGGGGGTTATGTCCCTTGCCGCTGCTTGTAAAAACAATTCAGCAGCTAATTGGCCACTAGGATTGCTTTTACATGAAAGCCGACCTCCAGCTGAAAAAAACAATACCAGGATGATGCCTGTAGTTGCAGGCATCATCTCGGTATAACCAAAGTCCAGCGATGTACCAGTACATTGCTGGTCCATGTTGGGCATATATGTAACAGCAGAGTAGAGTACATAGGTGTATGGTGAATCGGGTCTGTGGACCAATATGACTGCAATTCATTCTTTTTTTGTAATGTCCATGTTGAGGGTTAGACCCAAAAAAGTTTTAAATTCAGAAACCTTAATAGGTTTCTGTGCGAATTGTCTGGCAAGAGCACAGCTGATTTTGGGTGGGCGGCAATGTATTGTTGTTCATATAAATTGCCTTGGCCCACAATCAATTGGTACAAATCTTCCGTAAAAAATAGCAGAGGGGCTAAACTCTAGTGCTGGCAGTGAACGGGGCTGATCCTGCTAACACTGCGTTTATTGGGACACTATAGTAAGCAGGCAATCGTAGACAGTTGTGCTCAAAACTTTGCATACCCTGGCAGAAATTGTGAAATTTTGGCATTGATATTGAGAATATGACTGATCATGCCAAAAAAATGCTCTTTTATTGAAGGATGATGATCATATGAAGCCATTTATTATCAAATAGTTGTTTGTCTCCTTTTTAAATCATAATGATAACAGAAATCACCCAAATGACCATGATCAAAAGTTTCCCCCCTGGAATGTTTGGCCTTGGTACAGACACATAAAGTGACACACACGGGTTAAAATGCCAATTAGAGGTTAATGTCCCACATCTGTGGCTTTTTAAATTGCAATTAGTGTCAGTGTATAAATAGTCAATGAGTTTGTTAGCTCTTATGTGGAAGCACTGACTAGGCTAGATACTGAGCCATGGGGATCAGAAAAAGAACTGTCAAAAGTCCTGCATATCAAGGTAATGGAACTTTATAAAGATGGAAAAGGACATTAAAAGACGGTCTATTGGTCGAAACGTGTTGAAGGCTTATGACGCAACTTCTGCTGACATCACTTCCAGTATTTGCAATGCACGCTGGAACGGCAGCCATCTTAATTCCCATTCATAATACACAAAGCTGAATACACCCAGTGCCAGGAAAGGCACATTTTTTGAGATTGGAATTTCTATTGTTTGACCCCATATTAAAGTTTTATACAGTTTTACACTATGGGATGTCTGGTTTTGTTTTGATTTATGCTGAAAATATGAAATACTTCCTGTGGAGGAGAGGAGTTGCCTAACATTGATGGAGATCCAGTGGAAAGTTATTGGTTACTACCAGCAACCACGATTATAAGGGCGAATAAATATTGGCCATCAGGGCCGGATTGCAAACTGGGATAGTCCCAAAAAGCGAGTGAGGTGGCCATGAAATTACACTGAGTTTATATCTATGTGGGGCACCAGTGTGAACATAGTGAAGCACTTGTCATTTCAGTATGGAGTATCACCGTTAAAGATACAGCACCGTTGCACCAATTATTCACATGTTGGGACCAAATATTCATATTTTATTTGTATTTTGCTCAGTGTTATCATTTTAAAGATTGCACAGTTTATTTTGTCAATTTGTGACCTTAGTATACACTTACATGATTCCATGTGCGGTAAAAACCGCTAGAAAATATTAAGAACAAATTGTTATGTGAACACAGCCACGGATTTCTCAGCTATCTCAGGCAAAAATGATGAAACAAAAATTAATAAAGAAAAAATTGAGACCAGTGGATGAAAATTTTTCCTTTAATTTTTGTTTCATCATTTATGTCTGAGATATATGAGAAATCCGTGGCTGTGATCACGTAACAATTTGTTCTTAATATTTTCTGGCGGTTTTTACCTCACCTGGTATCATGTAAGTGTATAACCATATTGTAAAGTATCAAATTGTTTATAATAAATTTATTACATCATGTATATTGATATATGTTTGTTATAGACGTCATGCCTTCTTGAGCACTTCTGAAGGAGATTTCTGTTGATCTTGAAACGCGTCAAGTGCGAACCATGCATGATCCATGATTAGATTTACAATACCATCTCTGATTATATTTATTTTTGAAGATTGAAAAAATAAAATTTCATATTGTTTTTATTAAAAAATCTTGTTTGAATTGTTGAAATTTATCATACAAGTCTCCTAGATTGTAAGCTCCAAAGAGCAGGGCCCTCAATCCCCTCATGTTTTGCATTGTATTGGTATTGTTCTGTCACATGTTCTGTCCCCCTTTGTAATGTACAGCGCTGAGCGAACTATTGGCGCTTCATAAATACTGTATAATAATAAAGTAAATTACAAGATACAAGTAAATTGTGCCGGTAGCCTCCCTAGTGGTCTGATTATGTCAGTATTTCTGTGCTCAAAGCGGTACATTTTTTGCATGGAAATATGTTGTTTTTTTATTGTAGACACGTAATTTTTAGTAATAACTCACTGAAATCTGTCCGAACAAGAGCCTAGTAAACATCCCGGGTATGATAAAATTTGAAACATGAAATCATAAATTATAATTTAATAAATAATTATAAAAAATAATATAATAATTTTAATTCAATAATGTAATCAAACCAAAAACACTGAAATTTGATATAGAGTGCCAAGTTCACACATTGCTGAGCAAAGTTGCAGAATCGTTTTCAGTGTCTGATGACGAATTTCCCCGCGAATCATTATCACTCAATTCTGCAAGTGGTTCTGATTTACTATCGCTGTTCTCTAGCTGGTCTAAAACTGCTTTTGACCTAAAGGGACACTTTTTGCCATGGACGTTTCTCAGTTTCCAGGCAGAAAGAACAGTAAAAATGCAGGCAGGGCACAGGACAAAGCACTCGGGACAAAATGTATGTGAAATGGTTTGATACAGTAATGTTTTACTATGTGATTTTAGTGTATTTAGTGAATGTCACTTTTTGACATTTTTAAATTTCCCACCAGTTCCGTCCCCCGTACGTCCTGACGTCGAAGGGAACGGAACCCAGAAGACGGATGCCGGCATCGGCCGGAGGACATTACAGGGGACGCTGCAGGGGAATATCGCAGGAGCAAAGGACAAGGTAAGTGAAGAACAGATCCCGGAGCAATGCTGCAAGGTATTCCCGAGTGTAGCTCGGGGTTACCGCTTGTGGTGCTGAAACTTTACCCCGAGCTACACTCGGGAATACCTCCAGGGAGGTTAAAGTCCCACCAAAAAAAGGACTTTCCCCCTCCTTGTGCTTTGCTATGATAAGCGCAGATAAATGCGTGCAACTGTGAAAGTCAATAAACAGAAAAAAAAAATGGAAAAAAAAAGTTCATATAATGGTGAGATTGACAGACACCGGTCAGAGAATTGTGCCGCATAAAGATCCTGCTGCACCAGTGATATCAAAGGATTTTTTGTGACTAATTCGTGCAGAGGATATAATAAAATTGCACACTCACCAGATGCGCATAGTATTTTTTTCGGTTTATTGCCTTTCCCAGTTTCACGCGCATTTATCTGCGCTTATCATAGCAAAGCACTTTCAATTTATCACTTGTGTTTATTTATACCACCATTTTTACCGTTTTATAAATACAATTTATTTTTATTTTTTTTGCGCTGCATTTGTTTATATAAAAAAAATTAGAACTACCACTATTTTATTTTCTAGGGTGTCTGCTTTCAGAAAAATATATGCTCTTTTTTTTGGGGGGGGGGGGGGGGGGGGGTTGTGTCATCTTCAGGCCTAATAATTATTTTTTTTTAAATGTGCGCAAAAAATGCAAAAACGAGTCTGGCAGCAAAAGGGTAAAACCCGAACACATTAATGACACAGGTTCTGTAGCTGATTAAGGGGATGATTCAAGGGACTTAGCTGCATTTAATCAGCCTCAGAACGTGTGTCATTAATGTGTTGGCGGTTAAAGGGATGAGGTGGCAATCCTAAAGCACAAACTTGCACAACTTGTACATGAGGTCACCGATGTGCTCACACATTTCTCATTGCAGCTTGCAAGTTCGGCGCCCCGCCCCTCCCCCCCGCCTCGGAGCAGACCCCACTAAAGACAATAAAGCAGGTCCCGGGCTCACTTCACAGCCCCCGGGCTCAAGGCCTGTCCCCCTTCTATAGGCCCCTACTCACCCCGTCCTCCAACTCATCATCCGAAATGGCGTCCTCGGGCTGGTCCAGGTCTATGTCGAACACGCCCGCCATGGCCTCGGACGTTCTCTGTTTCCCCCCACCGCGATTCGGTGCTCCGTTTCCCCGCCTCATGGGGTCCTACACACGGCCGCCATCACCGGACGTTGTAACGCGGCGGCGCACCCGCACGTCGCTACTTCCCAGGTCCTCTGCGTACGCGCTCCCTTCTTTCCCCCTCCTCCTCAGAGGGCGCGCGCATACAGACCAGGGCAGGCCTCCGTAGAGAAGAGGTGGAAACAGACTACGCGCATGTGCAGTTGACGGCTTATTGCCTTGACTACAGCACGGGTGTTCCCACACGGAGACCAGTACTGCATGACATTTCCACAGTTGCAACAACCCCTGGCTACGAGGTACATGTCATCTATCGAATCCAAATTTCCCAAAATAAACGGCTGACTAGGTGAATAAACAGCAGTTATTTCCTGTTTGTTTTAGCAGTTCACGTCTCTGTATAAATGAGTACAATGAAGATTAGACTATCGTTTCTATAGTACGTTTTAACACGGAGTACTTTATTTGTGTCGTTTATCGGTTGTGTTGGCTCCACCAAAATGGCCCCTGGAAATGGACACATGAGTGAAGAAACGCTTCACCCTAGTGCTGTGTGTTGGGGGCGGGCACTTTAAACGTCCGTTCTCGGAATCGACAGGCTGTTTTCACCTATGAGAGGTTGTGGAGAGGGGAGAATACACAGCACCTGAGGGATTTACAAAGGATCTCATTTATGGAGGTTCGGGGGCTATGACTGGTCTAGTTGCCTGGAGGCACTGGTGAGGAAACAGGTTTTACGACTTTGGACCTCAAAGTTGCATGAAAAGTTGTACCCCATGTTTTCCAATGATAACTGCATCTGGGTACTACAAACTAAAAATGCTATATACAGGTGTACCTCGGTTTACAAATTGAATGCGTTATGCAGGGCTTTTCATATTGCGAAAAATTTGTAAACCGAAATGTGGTTTCCCATAGGAATGCATTGAAAACCAATTAATCCTGTTGAGGTTACACCGTGAAGTATTATAAAAAATATAGTGAATTATTATTACCTAAGTTGAAGAAATATATGAATGCCTTGGGAAGTGGGATGGAGATGAGGAGAGAATCTCTACAGGCCCATGTAGTACTTATCCACAAGGAAAGAAAAGATGCTTCTCAGTCCTCTAGCTATAGACCAATTTTATTACTGAACACTGATACTAAGCTGTACACAAAGGTTTTAGCAAATGGGTTGAAAGCTCTAATTCCTGAATGGATACATGGGGACCAGGTGGGCTTTGTCCCAGGGAGGGAGGGTAGCGATAACTGGTTGAGAACTCTGATGCTTATTCAGAAAAGCAGAAAAGGAAAAGCTACGGTGGTAGTGCTGTCAATCGATGCTGAGAAGGCATTCAATAGAGTTGACTGGGGCTTTATGATGGATACCCTGGAAGCCCTGGGGATCGGAGTGAGAATGCGGGAGTGGATAGGAAAATTATATAGGGAGCCCACTGCAATTATTACGGTAAATGGGGAGAAGTCGGAACCCATTGGGATGTCAAATGGAACTAGACAGGGCTGCCCACTGTCCCCTTTGTTGTGCGTTCTGTCATTGGGACCCCTGTTGTCAAATAATAAGGAGAAGCGGGGGATGTAAAGGGAATTCAGACAGAAACTACAGAACATAAAGTAGCAGCCTTTGTGGATGACTTGTTGCTGTATGCAGGGAACCCCAGGATAACACTTCCAAATTTAATGAAGATCCTGAAGGAATATGGAGAACTATCGAACTTAAAAATTAATCCAACAAAAACGGTGATTCTGAATATTAATGTACCAAAGGGCGAAAAAGAAAAAATACAAAAGGAATTCCCCTTTATATTGAGAGAAAGAAATATAAAATACTTAGGAATAAAACTCACTTTTTCACATAAGTATTTGTATAAACTAAACTATATTTCAATGTTAAATGAGATCAGGGAGGAATTAAAAACATTAGAAGGAGGAAACCCGTCATGGATAGGATACATAAACCTCGTAAAAATGGTAATTGTACCCAAAATACTGTATATATTTCAAATGATTCCAATCAAACTCCCAGAAGCTTTTTTTTTTTTAGGACAATGAAAAGAATAAGATATATATGGAGAAATAAAAAACCAAGAATATCCTATGAATTATTAAACAGGTATAAAGAGAAGGGGGGGATTGGGATTTCCAGATGTTAAAAGATATTACAAAGCAGTAATTTTAGCAAGAATTTATGATTGGACATATAATTCAAAAGGGAAAAGTTGGGTGAAAATTGAAAATGAACTTAGTGGAACTAGTTTGAGTAAGATTATATGGGTGCCAGCACAGTATAGAGGAATTAAAGATAGCACAAAAAAAAAAATCCTGTCGAGGTTAGAAAAAAGTAAAAAAAAAAAAAAGTCTTTTATCTGTTCAAAACTATTATGTGCACTTTAAAGGCATAAATACTGTACAGGGACATTATTAAAAAATAAATGCATTGAAAACCAATTAATCCGTTCATATTGCAAAAACAGTTCGTAAACCAAGGCATTTTCAATTGATTTTCATTCGTAAACTGAAAATTCTGTTAATCGACGTACGCCTGTAATTCATTTGGTAATGTTCAAAGCAAACTCTCCCATCCATGTCTCCATGCTTTATTTTGCTCAGAGCTTTTTTTTGCAGCGGGAACGCAGTTCAGGCACCTCCAGCATTGGATGTATATAATGGCAAGGGGTGCTGGGATGTGCTAGAAGGTCTATTGATGCTGGCTGCCAATACAGTGACACCAATACAGTGATCAGTGCAAAAAAAAAACCAAACACTGACACTGTACTTTAATAAAGGAATGCGCTAAAACCACAAACTATTCCTAATTTAGTGTAGAAACATTAGTGCAAAAGATATATATATATATATCTATTCTTAATATAAAAAACATATCAAAATTATGTGCAAAACAATTTTTTAGTGCATAAGTAATTTAAATAATTAAATTTGTGAATATAAAAAAATGTCCAATTCTGAATTTCTTCAATGTCCAAACAAATCCTTTTCAAATTCAGGTGCTCTCAAAGAAATTGTGCCAAAATCCACCACCAAAGTAAAGTTGGGTAACTCACCAGAGCTCCATGCTGATCAATCTCTAGATCAGCAAAAAACGCTTTTTGCTCTGGGAGCAGATGCAATGAATCAACTTCTCAGGTGTGACGATCAATAGCTACACAATCATCCATAAGGTAGGTATCCACCACTCAATATAATGATTCCAGGAGCATTATATCACTCTCTCTTTTTATATCTCTCCACCGAGGTCATGTTTGGGAATTTAATAAAGATTTACACTCACAAAAAGGGTGTCTTCACCGACACCAGTATAACAGCATAAAACAGCAAATGGTATAACAGTCTCCTGTTCCCCGCACACTCACTACAGCGCTCGTGACTCAATTTTCTCCACAGACGTCAGCATCCAGCAAGCGAAGCCCTACTAGTTTCGTCATGAATGACGTCTTCAAGGGGCGATCCTACTGCGAAGACCCAGACCTACATTTTGATGCATAGTATGTCTCTGAAATATTAAAAATGAAGGCACAGTCGCAGTTTAAAAATGTCCCTTAAAATTTCAGGTGGCTGGGAATGGAGATTCAATGAATGTCAATGGGCGGCGTGAGTTGCAAACAAATGGTCATATTGTGAAAATGATAAGGACTATGGCTTATCCGTGGACATTTTTAGTGGCAGCAGGGATAGCTGAACGTTTTGATATAAGATTTGTGTAGGTGGGCTTGAAAATGAGGGAGTGATGGCAGTTTAGAAATCATGTCCTGATTTTTCAGCTCACACTCTAGTTTTGAACATTCCGCCATTCATTCCTATGGGACCAATTTCACCACAAAAACGGCAATATTTCGTGAACCATTCGGCGAAACGTTCCACAAAGTAATAGCACACCAATCGGGAACAATCCGCACGTTTCCGTATATTACTGTCTATGTAGTGTAAAAACTGTGGGAGGAGGTAGGGGGGTAAATTTGGCTATAATAAGAATATATATATGTGAGATAACAGTAAGTGGTCTGCCATGCAAAAACACTTAAAAATGAGGGAGAGGTACATACAGGGAACAACCATCATGCTCAACTTCCAAGTGTTCTGGAATGGGGTCTAAGCTCAGAGAAGTATTTATTGCCTCAGTTTCACTGAACAGTGAGATATCTCCTAACGTCAGTATCAATGAACTTCCTCAGAGAGATCCTGACGTCAGTATCACTGAACTCCCCAGAGAGATCCTCATGTCGGTATCCCTCCTGTCAGTAATCACTTCCCCAGAGAGATCCTCATGTCAGTATCACTGAACTCCCTAGAGTGATCCTCACGTCGGTATCACTCCCGTCAGTAATCACTGAACTTCCTCAGTGAGATCCTCATGTCAGTATCCCTCAGGTCAGTATCACTGAACTTCCGCCAGAGAGATCCTCACCTCAGTGTCACTGAATTGGCCCCAGAGATCCTCACCTGGTGTCATTGAGCTTTCCCAACCTCTCCAACTGCTAAGTAAGCTCAGACTCTTTTTAAACCGCCCGAACTACCAAAATATTGAATTTACCATTAAAATCTTTCTTCTGGGCTTGTATGTTCACATCATAATCTTTCTGGCTCTATAAACCCTCTAAAAACACAAATAATTCAGATTTGATCAACCCTGAGGTGGCAAAACCCATTTCCCAGAATCCTTTGCAAAGATATGAAAATGGGCAGGTTCAGCCAGTAACATTCAAATCATACCTCTGCTGATAACTGTCACCAGTGTGCTTATGAGAGCTCTCAACTGAATTTTCATGCTATAGCTGGACACAGGAGCAGGACCACGGCAACTGCCTGTAAAATGACAGCTTTCTTAACTATAAAGGGTGGGGGGGGGGGGGGTATTCTGCTTTAACAAAGCCTTCATTTTTCCTTCATGTAATCCTCCCAGCACTTTGTTACATGGCAATTTAAGTGTCTGCTGTCATCTCAGGAAGTAGCTGGTGCAGCCTCTAGAGCTTTATTTTGGGGGTATTTAATCACCTCTGGGT